GTTTCTTCGGAAATAAAATCTGAGTTTTTTGTTACCCATATCACATTTATTTCCTTGTACCAATACTTTATCTGTTAATTTCAATTCTTTCTTGGATTGACACATTTTAGAAATTTGCTTAGCATCAGGAACACAAACATGTGCTCCCTTTTCAGATAACTTAAATCCAACATTACATTCAAAATCGACTTCAGTACATTGACAAGGATCATCAATGACTTTAACATCTTCAAAAAGTTTATTAACAAAACATTTAGCATCTTGCTTTCTTCTCTTGAATTTTTCACGATGTCCATAAACACAAATTGGTTCATTATCATCAATTTGTCTAGCGACAAATTCTTCAAAATCCTCATCAGAACATGTTTTACCATCAAATGCATTGGTGAAATCAACTGAGTAAATATATTCAGAAGTGGAGTAATCTTCATCGACACCACTAATGATAAACTTACGAGAAGTACCATCAATTGTTGTCAAAATAGTCAATGGATAAATAGGAACTTCTAATTTCACTTTATCCCATGATTTACCTTGATCCAAGGAGAAGAATAAATTCTTAGCTGGGTCGTATTTTTTCTTTCCATTATATGGAACAGCTAAAATCACATTACCTTGGTCACCAAAGGCAAATACAGCTGGGAAATCTAAAGCTTTATCCCATGTAGCACCAGCGTCACGAGAAACATAAGTCTTCATTTTAGTGAAATCATTGGCCAAATGTTTACCTTTATTACCAACACCTAATAAAATACCCGGTGTTGGACCAGTAACAAATTTACCAGAACCATCCAATTCACTATATTCCCATAAATGTAATGAACATCCATCTTCTAATTTACAGGAATTATCATTAAGTTTAGCCATGGCCCAATCTTTTCCATCATTGAATGAAACTTTGGTGACAATATCTTTAGCAAATGTACCACCAAACAAATTATCCAACAAAGATTTATCTTGATCATAATCCTTTTGAGCATCAACACCAACATTGGCAATCCAAGCACCATCAATATTTTCCACTTTTTCAATGTGTCCACCGGCAATTTGATCAATCAATTTGGTGTAGTGTAAACCTGAAGAGTCAGAGGAGTAAAATGAAGCGGTTTTGAAACCTTTGGAGTTATAATCCATAATTGTTAAAAACAATGATGAAACACTGGATGGTAAAAAGGACATTACCCCATACTTGATATCAATTTCCAAATCAGCACGAGTAAAATCATCACCATTTCTTGAAATAAAGGCACTAATTTTGGAATTATCATTAAATTTGTCAGTTCTCAGAACAGCAACCATAAAATCTTCTTCAACTTTAATATCAATAATTTCACCACTTGCAGAATCCAAGGGATTAATTTCTTGTCGTGATTTAAAGAAATCATCAGATTTATATAAATGAGATTCCACAACATGACCATAAGAATTCAATTGATTAGTTGAGCAATAAATAGTTTCTGCTTTACCAATTTGACTTGATTTAGTTGATCTTGAAAATCTACAAACATGAGCTTCAACAGGTAATTGATTTGGTTTTGAATGGAAACCATCTTTTGTATAAAAATACTTGTGTTTACAACGACGACTTAATCCTCTTCCATCAGGACATTCATAATTTGAAATCATCAAATAATCACTATTTTCAGCATTAAATGAAATTTTAGGAACTGAAGCCATATCATTAGCAAAAATATCAATTTCAAACCCAGTCCATGATTTACCTTGATCTTCAGTATAATATTGTTTTTTAGAATCTGTCATGATAAATGCTCTTTTATTATTATAAGGATCCATTTCAAAGAAAATGGCATGTTCTTTAATTGAATCAATTTCATTAAAAGTTTTACCATCATCTTGGGATATAGACACCTTCCGATCTCTCAAGACTAATAAAGTTGAAGAATCGTCGAAATATTTAATTTCTCTTGAAGGACTTCTAGATTTGACCAAACTAATGTCTGGTTCATAAGAAGCACTTGTTAATGCTACTATGAATGCTAGAAGTATTAGCAAATTGAATTTACTTTTCATATTGAAAGTCAGACAGTTTGTCTTTCAGGTGGATGGTGGGGGTAAAGAAAGTAAATATCTAAGGAAAGATTTATTGAAGAAAAAAAAAAAAAAATAAAATAAATTACTGGCAGCAAAGGGGAAACAAAAAGTCAAAATGAACAAAAAGAAAAAAGAAAAAAAAATAAATTAATGTTGTAACAATTCAAATAGTCTTTCTTTATAACCCTGGTGTTTGATAATAAGATAGCCAATTGATAATCTTGTTGAATTCTTCTTGTAGTGATTTATTGTAAAAAAAGACAGAAATGAATAAATGGAGGGCGAGAGAGTGGTTAAAGAAGACTGGGAAAGTAAAATTTAGTTGAATTGTGAGTGGGAGTGGGAGGAGAGTTCAGCGAGAGTCAAGCGTAATCTTTCACTTTTCTCACCAAATTTAATCTAATTAAATTTAATTTATAGGTAACAAAAACTTCATCTTTAACAACAACAAGGCTCGAGAGAGAGAGAGAATTTAAAAATGTCAAACCAAAGAAAAATAGATTGATTATGTAATACAACTATTGAATGTACGTAATATATGAAAGAATTCATTATCCGTACAAAGTGATACTAAAAACATTGCTTATTACCATCGATACACCAATGATTTGGTCAGAGTTCTGAGAATCCAACTTATCAGTTATCTTTCATTTTGCATATATGTATCACTGAAAATTGATTATTAAACTCTTGTTTTCATTCAAAACAAAAAAAGCCTTGTTTTATCTAAATACTCAAACCAACAAATTCACCGAGGTTGATTACTTTAACATAACAACCAACATCAATAGGATAATACATATTTAAATTAAATGTCCAACTCATTAAACTATTATTAAATTTGAAAAAATCATCCTTATGTATTCTAATCAATATAGTTTTTGAATCAATTTTAGTTAACAAATCAAATGGAGATGATTCACCAATTAATCCATATAATTTATTTAAACTTAATAATATAATCGATTTCCATGTAATCATATCAATATCTATATTATTATCATACTCTAGTAATTTTGTCTCATCTTGGTGTATACTTGGATCAGGGAAACTTTGTTCGAAGAGATAATAGTTAGTATAATTGTTCATTCGTACTAGTTATATCAATGAAAAAAAAAAAAAAAAACAAAGGAAATTAAGTTACATACATTTGTAATTTCATATAATACCAATCATTCTTAGTTAGTTTGATTTTCCTTATACTTATCTCTTCATTACTCATTTGAACAGATGGCAGTATTAATTCCTGTTGCCAACCGGGTTGTCTAATGGTCTCAAAGTACAAGAAGCAAAAGAAAAAAAAAATTTAGAATCATCGATGGTGTAGCCGGTCGTGTCCTTTTATTAAATCTGAATTATTATGTCACTAGATGATGATGTGGAAATGGAACTATCATTTATACTATTTTGATCTTTATTTTCTGTATTTTCTTTAAGTTCAATATTATTATTTACTGGGTTAGTCATTTTAATAAAATCTTCATTCTTTTGTGGACTAATTGGTGAAAAGTATCTGAGACCTGGCTCCATTGGCGGAGGAGGAGGAGGAGGAGGAATAGAAAGAGCGAATGGTGATGGTGGGTGAGGAAACGGTAAAGCATGAGGAAAACTATATACTGGAATACATCCAATTGGTACTTCTCTGCTAGGATTTATTTGAATAACAGGCATTGTAATTGAAATTGGTGAATGCTGTAACGGGCTAATAGGAGAAAGTGGCAATGAGTATAGTTGAGGTTGTATACCTGGTGCATAAGATGAATTGAGATTCAGATTGTGTAATGGCATAGGAGAATGAGTATATGATGGATTATTATATTGATACTCTCTTTGATAATGTTGATATTCTTGTTGATGATGAACTAGAATAAATGCTGAAACTGGATAGAATGCTGGTTGAATTGAATTGCCAATTGGAAAATGATCTCTTTTTGGAAGTTGCAAATAGTGAGGTCTACGTAGTAAATCATCGAGTTTTATGTGATCGTACCGCTTCAGATGTCTTAGGTTTAGTATATCCTCAGGCAGATAGACAATTTTTGAATCCATTAGTAATTATAGCAGATACGATTACTACTGATCAAAGAAAAAGTTGCAAAAAAAAAAAAAAATCACCAAGAAAAAAAAAACAATCCAGAATATATTAACATAACTGCAAAAAAACAAAAACACTCGTGTGTGCTCATAACAATTACATACAGTTATACAGTTGTTGTTATGTCAAAGATATCAACATTACATAAGCTACGAAAAATTTCATCTATCTATTATTTTTTTTTTAGTTTCTTTTTAATTTTTATTTTTTGATACTTTGGCCAATTATAACGATACGCCAAGCACATAAAGGAAACACTAAGACAATAATTAAAAAGTTACGAGCAACTACCGGAGTGTACTAATCCTTTTCCGATTTATTTCCACGAAACCAGTTTTCTTCCCCCCCAATTGGATGAATTATTTTGCCAATACTTCCAAGCATCTATTCTCTATGACATTAAAACGGCAAAACGAAATAGCGGCAAAGTAAAGTAAGAAAATAGAAAAGAAATAATAATAATAATCGTTCTATTACTCCGAGGCTTTAAGCCCTTTTGTGAAAATCGACTGATATATTCTAATGCCTTTAAGTGATATAAAATCGTGGCTCATAAATAATTCAGAGCTTGGAGGAATAAATGAAATTTGGGGGGGGGGGGGAGCGGTTAACAATAGTTGTAACCATAATTATATACAATTCGCTTGTGTGAGTTTCCAAAGATATATAATATGTGTATTTTAGGAGTAGTACGAACCAAAAACCAAAAATAGAGACAGCATAATAATAATATTATATTCTTGGATGGATCTGGTATCACATAATAGAAAATATTATAGTTAATTGTCATTCCTCGTATGTTACTTGGATCATAAAGACTTTTGTACAGATTATTGGTCGTTTTGTTTCTCCTAAAAGGGAAGGATGTGGTAAGTACACAAATTTGTCAAGGAAAATATTCTTTGAATGATCATGTTATGCGATATATTATTGATAAAATGAAAACATAATCAAATAAAAAAGGGGGAAAGAGGAGGAAGATTCATTAGAAACAAAGGGTTAAAAAAACATAAAATAAAATAAACAGCAAATAAGGGATATTCTTGTCTTTCTTTTCATTTATTCAAATAATAATTTATAATAGTTCTAGATTGAAAAATAAAGAGATTTTTGTTCATCATATTGTATATTTATTGTTACATTATATTGCATATAACTCCTTATTTGAAAATATATAATTTACTTTCTTAATCACTTTTCTAGCGTACCCCTCTTCTTTGACTTAAGAATGATGTCAACATACATCATGATATAGAAGAACAATATACTTGAAAAAAGGCAAGGGGAGGATGAGGAGGAGGGGGAGAAGAGAAGAACAGAAAATGAAAGATAATGATGATTACAAATTATAATAATTAACAAAGACGAAAGAGGAGAATTGAAGTGAAGTGAAGTGGAGTGAAGTAAAGTGAAGTAGAATGGAGTGAAGTGAAAGAAAAATGGTGGAGAAATAAAAGTTAGTAAACCTACAGGGAAGAAATTAAACGGGAAACAAATAAAGAAATAAGTACAATAAAAAAATACCAAGAAGAAGGAGTGTAGTAATTAAAGAGAACGCATAATAATAACGGTTTTTCATTCATTAATTTCATCTGTATATTTTTTATTTTATTTTATTTTATTATTTCTTTGTTGTTTTAGATTGCTTTCATAGAATTTGCCCCACCATTGAAGTTTGAATTTTATTTCATTTCTAATATTGAAAATCTACCTTTTGAATCAAAACAATTTCACTGTATTATTAATTGATAATATCTATTGGATTTCATAATTGAGATTCAAAGCAAAATCCGCACGGCTCGGATTATCATCATTTTACTTTATTGTACCACGCACACACACACACACATATGCGCATACACACAAAATGGTATAGCAGGTAAAAAAATTTTATGATGTTATTGTGGTACACTGGCTGACTGTACCACTACGAAAGTCTTGTTCTCTTGAAAATTTCTTTTGTTCGTATTGATATTTAACAGGTTAACGTTATTTACTAAGCGATGTATGTCAGAATAAGAGGAGATATGTATATAAATGTAGTTAAAGATAAAGATAAAGAAAATGAAGCGAGTAATACTACATGTATTAGATATCGTGTTTTTAGTTTTATCCAATGATAATCTCTTCTACACTTTGCAGATTAGGAGCGGAAAAAGAATAGCGCCAATAAAAAAGAAAGTAATACTTACGTACATACATGTCCATAAGATGGAATCTGTAAGTTTTAATTTTTAGTTTCTCAGTTTAATTTAGAATATGCGTATAGAAAATCCACTTTGCACTGACAGTTCCTCCGCGGACATGACTAAAATTGCGGTGGTACTTGTATGTAAAGCTATTTCTTTCCCTATTTTTTTTTTCTTATTAACTTTCGATTGATAATCTCAATTGGATAATCAAATGACAATAACAATCTATCATCTGTTCTATTCTAATGGATAGTAAATGTTTAATGTATTGAAACAATTATCATACATCTCATGCATATCTATCGATCCACTTCTCTCCTCTCCTGCGATGATAAAGTTATTAAAGTGTGACAACGGTTTTTTTATCACATTGTACACGACTCCTTCATCGATGATGATGATAATAGTGAGTACACAAAGATAGGAAAATAATGAGTGAACGAAAATGAAAAAGAAATTTTCATGATCAATTTTATTTTTGTACGCTGTGTTGTCTTTTTGTCTTCTGGTTGTAAAAAAGAAAAAAAGAAATAAGAAGCTGTGTATCATCAAACAACAACAAAAATTTTTTCTTTTTTTCTTTCCCCTTGTGTGTGTGTGTAGGTGTGTTGATTATTCTCTCAGTCTTACAGTAGTCTCACTCAAACTGACCAAAGAAAAACATCCACTGGAAATTTGTCTACGCTTTTTTGTTTGTTTTTACAACACTGTCTTTTCACTCTCACTTGTATTACTGTACAATCCATACAATTTATATACAGTATACATATATTTTTTTTTTGTTAAATTTTATTTTCTTTCACTCTTTCACTCTTTTCTCTCTCTCTTCTTTTTTTTTTTTAATTTATTTACTTGAATTTAATTTTATTTTTACAACCAATTATCATCAATTATCATCCACACACACCACCATCACCATCACCATCGACCAAACCTTTATATCATTTGGGTTCAATTATTAAAAGAAGAAGAAGAAGAATAATAATAACAACAACAACAACAACAAGAATATCATAGAGTAATCATCATTCCCCGATTTTTATTCTATTCTACACATTATACTATTGCCATTGTTATTACTATTTGTTTTTTTTCTCTCTCTCTCTCTCTTTTTTCTTTACAACTTGCATCAACCCACTCTCTTCCTATTTTCCCATTGTCAATATTTTACCATAGACAAACTATCAATATATTGAAATAGGTTACTATTAATTGACTATTATAAGCTTAAGGAACAACATATTTGATCTATCATCATCATCCCTTTCCACATTCCCCCAAAGAAGGAAAAAAAAACAAAGAGCATATTGATAATTTCCAGTCATCAATCCATTCAACAAATCTTATTTATTGTATCATTCTGACAGACATAGACACACACATACAATCAACATTATAGACCAAGATGATGACAGACCCAGAAATAGAATCAGATGGTGAATATTTATATGTTAAAGCCCTAAGTAAGAGAATAGAATCGTTGTTGCCAAATCATACAGGAAGAAGTATAGAAGAAGTTGAACTCGATCAACAATTTCAAATCACTAGAACCCTATTGTTAGAAAGCAACAATCGAAATCCTAAAATGATAACTTATATATTTATTTCATTTGCATCAATATTAAAGTCAATCAATACAGAATCAGCCAATAATAAAATTAAACACAGAGATGAGAAATCAAGAAACTCCACATTATTAGTTTGTAAATTGTTGGCAGATATATTGAAATCTAATTGGGATAGAGAGCAAACTGTGCTTGATGACAAAGATTTATTGAGTAATTATTCGCGTTTTTATTATTATGATAGACCAAATAGAATTAATCCAAACTATGTGGCTGAATTGGTGGACATTTTTGTTAACATGTTATCTTCGGGAGTTGTTCGTAAAGTTTTGGCCTTGGTTCGTAATGAACAAACTATCACTACTATGGCTGTGGCGAAAGAAGAACAGGATATTTCTCGTGAAGACCAACCATTGACTAAAGAAGAGGAAATTGCATCAGCATTGTCAGATATTGATTGGTATTTGGACACCATTATGAGATATATTGCCACTGCTAATCCTGACGAATATTACGATGTGATTATTGACAAGATTTATAAATACTCTGAAAGAGACCAAACCATTCCACTACCTATACTACAGAAATATTGTCCATTGATGAAGTACTTTTTCTTCTCCGATGACAATCACGTCCGTGTTGTCGATGATACAGTAAGAGCTTTGCCTTGTATCAGATCTTCCACTTGGAGACAAGTCTATTTGTATTTTTTTGCCAATAGTATCAAAGACCAATCATTTTCTAGAACCCTAGATTATAATGTTTTGGTTGACATTAATGACACTCACCAAAATCAAGTATTAAAGACTTTATTTGACACTGCAATAAGTATTTATTTTGAAAATACCGACCAATCCTACTGCGGAAGTTTTGTTTTAACGTGGATTTTGGCTTGTTGTTTAGAAGACATCAAGGAAGTAAATACCGACAAACCACTAAATAAACTAAAACTCACGTTCAACAAACGTTTAAAATTTATGATAACAGTGTTAAAGGATTCAAGCAATGCTAGTAATTTAGAAAGTTTTGACGCTTTAATCCATATCTTCCATTTGGGTACTCGTCTACAGGCATATAACTTGTTGTCTCATCCAATTTACATCTTTAGTTTGAAATTTTTGGATGAAACTTATAGAAATCTACTAAAATATGCCGACACTCATAGAGATGATTTGATAACTGACGATGAATTGTCTTTCCAATATGAATTTTTGACTGTGAACTTTTATCTTGCTGCATTATTACTTCGTCCAGAAAAATACTCCAAGATTATTCTTAACAATTATGCTCAGAATCAAGACGAGCTTCGAGCAAATAAAATTCTTGTCAAGATTATTAAGGGATTATCTGAAATTGAGACTGGACGTAAAGTATTTCTTAATCTCATGCAGCAATTGATACCAACTTTAAAAAAGATGATATATGGTGCATTAAAGATTTTGTGTCAATTTGAAGCTAGGTATAACCGAAATGTTTTCACTCCTATTTCGTCACCCAACGATTCACCTCAGAGTGCCGTGTATTCTGACCTCGCCAGTATGGGCCAATTTATCCAAGCTAATGCTGCAACCCAGCTGACAATGAGTTTGATCAAAACAAGTTTAGACCATTATGCCGAAGACTTGTTTGATATCCAATCTCGTGATAGCGGAAACAAGATTGGTGGAATTAAAAATGTGACATCAACCACGAATTCTTCACACTTGTCATCTTCAACTTATAGATTTAGAATTGTCAATGGTGCTGAAGAATTATTATCAGATATTTTCCTGATCTTCACCACGGTTCCAGATCTTTACTTCAATGCCATGCCATTGATGAGTGACGAATACTACGAAACCAAACCTTTGAAAGAATTATTGCCAGCCATTATAAAATTCTGTCATGAAGCAGTAATTCCTTTGAGAGTAGCCCTTAAATCTAGATGGGTGGTACAAGGCAATACCAGATTACTTGATTCTTGTAAATTATTGTGTACCAAAATGGTTACTCCCGGTAACAGATTGGTACAATATAATAGTACTTTGAGTGTATTTGCCAATTTCAATATCTGTAATTGTATTATCTATATCACCTGTGAAGCTTGTTTGTCCATGTCATTGCTCAGTCCAAAGTTTAAATCATGCTTTTTATTCTTAAATGACTTCTTACAGAAGAGAACGTTGTTTGATGAATATATTGCAAAAAATCCAATCATTATGGACCCACTGACACAAGCTTACTACGAGCCTTGTGGCGATATCATTCATTCAGTTGAAAAAGTTTTATTGCTTTCTTTGTGTACCCATGATGTTTCATTCTATAATTATGCTGTTCAGGGTCTTAATTGGTATGTCACAGAATTAAAAACACACAAACATTTTTATCGTCCGGAAGAGGTATCAGATACCATGTTGGATACCTTTGAATTATTTGCCAAAGATGATTCTGTGTTTACAGGATTTGCCAGTTTACATAAACGACACAGAAATATTTTACGTGAAGCCAAAGCAACCAAATCTTTGTATCAAGTTTGGATGATGATTTATTACCGTTGGCTTAAAATACTCGACAAGAAAGAGGCATTGGGTCCTGAAGAGAATCTTGTATTTAGACATTATACTGGTTTCATCGTCTCTACTTCTGGATGTTTTATTTCAGGAGACCCATTTCCGGATAATCAAGAGCTTAAAGAGAAAGCCATTAATCATATTTCAGTACTCTTTGATAAGTGTATTGAATTGTTAACTTCTCAAGATATGGTTATTCAGATGGTTGTCAAAGAAGCTTTGTCGAATGAAACGCATTCAGAATTGTATCGCTTGATTGCGGAAAAATTGATGAACACCGCTGCTGGTTATTTTGACAAGTATAAGGCTGATGATATTGTTTTATTCTTGGATCGTGCATTGATGGTTATGACTGCCATGATAAATGTGAAAAGCGAAGGTGCTCTTTACCTTGCTGCCATGCTTCCAGAAATATGCCAGCTTTTTATCAAATGTATTAGTTCCATTGAGAATCAATTTGAGCGTTTGAAGGTTCAGTTGAGATTTTGTAAACTTGGTATTGCATTAGAAGCTGACCGTACAAACTGTGGTTTGAATGGTGCCTATAAATTAAGAAATATATTTGCAAAATCAAGTATGGAATGGTTAGAACAAGCTGTATTCTTTGACGAGGTCATGCAAGATGAAGTTTCATCATCCTTATCAAGAGAAGTCGATACAAGCTATCTCGCATTGGATTTGGCAGTAGAGAGCTCCAGTTTATTGCGTGGTCAAGTAGAGAATTTATTGTTAGAAGTTCCAGATGGTATCAAAGACGATGAGTTAAAAAAGTACAAAGACTTGTCATTCAGTAATTATTTCTCATTATTTTACAAGATTATTGAAAAATATACCAAGCTGACACCAAATACTAGAGAACGTCATAAACAGCAAGTGATCATCGATAATATTTTGCAAGCCATTACCAATATTTTGCAATATGATTCCCAAATTGGTATGAGATTTATTTTACCTATGGGGTATCATGAAAATAAGAAAATTAGATCCATTTTCCTCAATGTTTTCTCCAAAATGTTACTTTCTCAAAGTATGAATGAGAAAAGAGAAGAGTATCCAGAAAGCTTGATTCAAGAATTGACAGAACAAGATGAAATATTTGGTGCTATTGCTGATTGTGCTTCCTCATATGAACATAATTTATTGGCATCATCTTTGTTTGGAGTTTTTTCCTACACAGGTAAATTGGACAAGTTATTCAAAGTTTTGTTGTCGGTGGAAGTGGCGCATCTGGCAAGATCAACTGATTTATTCAGAAGAAATTCTACTTTAACCAAATTTTTGTCATTTTATGCACACGCTTATGGTGTAGAATACTTGGAGAATGTTGTTCAACCTATAGTCAAAGAACTTGTTGACAATGAAGTCCAATTTGAAGTTGAAAAAGTCGATACACCAGAGACCGCAGATTTGTTTATGAATTATCTCAATAGAATCGTTGATCTGATTGTCAATTCCATTAATGAATTACCAACTCCATTTAAATGGTTATGTGGAGAAGTCTATTCCACTGTGATTAAGAAATTCCCTGATGCCGCATGTTCTGCTGTTAGTTCATTTATTTTCTTGAGATTTTTGTGTCCGGCTATTATTAGTCCAGAGCAGCAATTCAAGATCCAAATCAACAATCCTAAGGTTAAAAGATCATTGATGCAATTGGTTAAAGTATTACAAAACATGGCCAATGGTACATTGAATTCAATTAAATGGGCAGCATTAGCTAATGAAAGTGATAAACTTAATGAAGACAATCGCAAGATTTCTGATTTCTTGAAGGATGTATCTATTAATGACAACAATACTTATGAATTCCACAAGGATGAAGTCCGAGAAAAACCATTAAATGAGTTGAGATACTTGCATAAATTTATTTATACATATTTCACCAAAATTAGACTGCTTTATCTTTTCAAGGATGGTGCTGGCAAGGGAACCCAATTACATGAGAAGGCAGTTAAATTTAAAACATTTGACATTATTGTTATGAAATTAGGTCAACCAAAGCCAAGTGTTAGATTACAACTACATACCAGTATGAAAATTCCCGATGCTAATAATTTGGACGACGATGAAATCAAATTTAATGATTTTATGACAAAAATGTCTTTGAAGTATGCTGACACTCCACCAGACGCAGTTGATGTTATTCATAGTTCCATTTTCAAAGATGGTACCCCGGCTGTTGTTGTCAACTTGAAGAAGATGAATAGCAGACCAGATGATGCTGCTTATTTGGCATATAAATTATTGGAAACTGCATCTCAAGTTTGGGATAATAAATTCTATTTGGTTTATGATTTCACAGAATATTATCATTATACAAAACCAGTGACCGATGAATATGCTAGATTGTTGGGTGATTTCAGTACCAAGCAATTGTTTAGTAACTGTCTGAGAGTGTACTACTTCAATATTCCTAGAACACAACACCCTGGTGTTCTTGATGCTGTGAAAGCAGTTAGAGAAAAAGGATCCACCTATTCTATAAAACTTTACACTTACTCATTGGCTGATCCTGATTATATTATCAGAAACTTGTGTCTTGATCAAGAAACAGTTGCTATCAACAGGGAAAACAAAGTCAGTTATGAAAATGTAACGTTATATGATCCAACCTCCGATAGATTCTTACCTGTCAAGCTTAAAATTGGTAGACGATTTGTGACCCTTTGTTTCATAACAAAGGTTCCGTTCCATGACAAAAACTGTGTAACTGATGGATTTGTCCCCGTTGAAGTCTATCGTATTACTGAATTTATCAAGTGTGAAGTTTCAAATTTCACTGGTCACAACGACGAGTTTACTATGTTTTTGAATCATGGTGTCCAAGTAACTTTAAGATCACAAAACAGACTTGAAATTTTGAGATTTTTGTATTTCACCATCTCCAGATTACCAAAGGAACCATTTTATATTGCTCCTGATGCAAATTATCAAAATGAGCGTCATTCCATGCATTGGTTTGGAAGATTGTACAATATTGTTTTCCAAGGTTTATTGAACAATGATGAAGATGTCAAGTCGAAAGCGGCCACTTTGTTTGGGTCTTTATCTACGTATTTTGAAATTGATTTTGGTATAAGAGAGAGTCATGCCGTTAAAGTTCCATTTCCTGCTGATGCTACCAATTTTGTGGTTTCAGTTTCAGAGTATTTGGCCAGCAATTTCCCGCAAATGACATATCGATTCTTTAAAGCATTTTTTGATAATTTTGAACGTATGGATAAGGAAACTAGGTTCACTTCAATTTTGTATTTATCACCATGGATACAAAATATCTATGAATATGTTTATCTGAGTCCTGAAAATGGTGCTGACAAAGCAGCCGATTTATTTAGGTTGTTTTGTCGTTTGACTAATATCTACAAAGATAAGATTCCATTCCTTAATGATTATCTTTGGTCCAAATTATTCCAGGAAGCCAGATTAGTCCTGACTTTAGTAGAAGAGGTTGTTGCTTTTGCCATTGATAGTAAGAATGACAGTCCTGATTGGTCGTTTATTATTGCTGTTATCCGTCCTTCAATTGAAGTTTGCGGTGAAGTCACTGCAAGATTAACCAAAAGAATAGGTGCAGCATTGACAACCGATTCAACTGTTGCTTTGGAGTCGAAATTATTTGAAATTTCTGTGTTGATCAAAATCAGTTCTTCATTGTTTTTCAATTCTTATAATTTGTCCAAAACTTACTTGGCAGAATTGATTTTCTTTGTCACATTGTTTATTGATGATTACCATTTAGATGTTGGTGAGGATTTGCAAAAGTTGTTAATGACAGCTATTCAATCTTTGTTGCATAAACCAGGCATTACTGAATTACAGCAAAGAAAAATCGATGAAGCTATAGCTTACTTTTCAACTCCAAGAGCTAAAATGATTTTTGGCACAAGTAGAGATACAACCTATGTCAATGACATTGGTCAAACATTTAATCGTATTTCAAATTTCGAAAGGTTTACTGATTATTTGAATGAATTTATTGATATATTTGGATCGACTGAAGATAGAACTGCTTGGAGAGCTAGATGGTCATCAAAGGCAATTGACGTGGCATTCAACAATTTTTCATTGTTCCAGGATCGTGCAGTGTTGGTGGTTGGTATACTTGCCAAACAAGGTATTAGTGATTCTACAGCTTGCAGAACCATTAAATTGATTTCAAATGGTGAATTACATAGTATCAAGTTGGCAATTTGTGTTGCTGTTGCTGTGGCTAGAATTTTAGATGGCTTACCAGACACTTCAGTTTTACCACCTATATTGATCTGGCCACAACTTTGTTTTGCCTTGTTGAATCATTCAGTTTTATATCAAGCAAGTTTGTTGAATCTTATTGCTTCGGTTACAAAAGTTATGAGAAGCGTACCAAATTATCTTGATCGTATATTTGAAGAACGTCAATTGTTGGAGCCAGGTTTAAGTGATCTTGAAACAAGAAATCATTATTCCATCACGAAAAAGAATTTTGGAATGCATATGTTTTTCATCCTTACCCAAGGTTTAAGAGTTTCACAGTACAGACATCTTTCAATTTCGTGCATCAAGACCTATTTCAAAGCAAGATATCAAAACGCTTTAGGAAATGGGAGCAAAGATCTTGAAACCAATGCTTATGCTTATCTTATGTTGCTTTATTTATGTTGTGATGTCAAGGAAGTGAAGGAATTTTTTGATGAGATTGGTCTTGCCTGTGAATTTGTTGATCTTGGAGATGGTCAAAAGATTCCAAATGTTTTGATCGACTATTTGATTGGAAGTAGTGAAGCCACGCAAATTGCTATGATCCACGCTGGTTATTTTTTCAGTGATGTTCAAGGCGTTGATATTAGTTTTAAAACAAGATTTATTAGAATTTATCTTTATTTGCTTCATCACAAACGAGATTTGGCATTGTTGGTCTATCATCTTATTGAACCAGTTATGATCCAAGACCTTGTAAACACCGTGTCAGTTGTTGTTGTTCGTAACATCTCCGATGTAATTGAGTTGGTGGGAAGATATTCTGATTATGATCCAGAGTTTTATATTAAAAAGATTGATGACATTATTGATACAAATCAAATTGATGTGGTGAGGAAGTTGAGAGATTTGAAACCCCTTCATGAATCAGTTGATGAGAATTTTAGATTTAAACCTGAATTTGATCATGATATTAAAAGTATTCAATCAATGCTTTATAGAGCTTCGTCAAATTATATCGTTGGGGCAACATTGGAAGATTAATTGGTCACAAAAACTTGTTCTTAGGGCTACGCTATTTTACTAGTCATTTACGTTCATTTTAATGGGATTCACCATGAAGGAAACTATATTTTTAAACCAATGCTTATTGTTATTACAGTACGGGAGATTCTATATAAGATGTATAAATTTTTTTTTTCTTATTATTTTTAATGTCGCAATGAAAGTATTATTATTATCTATTATTTCTTATTTGCACTTTCTATTTCTTTTCTAAATAATCTAAATAACAACATGGTTGCTCTAGCATCTTCAACTGAAGAATGTTTACCAATTTGAATATCAATTTCTAAAAATTCTTTTGCCAATTTTTTCAAACTAGGAGCTTTACCACCAGCAATTTCTCTAAATTTTTTAAATTTTGAAGTATCTCTAATCATACTTTTTGGATGACTTAAATATAACATATCTAAATCATTTTTAATAGCATGCCCAACTAATATTTTACCTTTTAATAAGTTCCCTGTAATCTCTTGAGCTTTTTTAAAATCAATAGCATCTTTTAAATGAAATGATTCAATTCCACTTACCCAAGTTCTAAAATCAGTTACTTTACCTTGTGGTTTAACAAATGAATCAAATAATACAACTCCAAAATAATTTACAATTGAAATTCTAGCAACTGCAGATTCCGATCCTTCTGGTCCTAATCCAACAAATTCACAATCTAATGAAATATATCTACCAGGATCTGATTTTCTTAAATCATAAGATTTTGAATTTGTTGATATTGGTAATGCTTTTGATATTGTCGGTATGGATTTTACATCAATTGGTTCTGATTGAGTCCATAATGCATATTCTAAAGGAGTTGCTAATTCTTGTTTTTGTTCAACAGGAGGATGAGGATTTGTAGTCGTAGTTGGTCTATTAGCTAATGCAATATAACCAATTCTATGTACTACTGGCTCAGTTGGTTTCGTTGATGATTGTTTCTTTGATTTTGATTTTGGTTTTGATTTTGATTTTGGCTTTTGAATTGATCCTTTTTTAGTATCTTTTTGTAATTTAGTACTTAGTTTCTTCCAATTTGATGATAATTTAGCCATGATTTATTGTTTCTGTAGATACGTATATATGATATTGATAAGAAATCAATCTCCCACTTTGCATTTTTTTCCTTCATTAATTTTTTTCTTTGTCTGGTTTTGGTAAAGAGCCCATCGCGATGGCTGCAAGATTTTTTTTTCTTTTCTTTTTTATCACTGCGTTATCACAAACACAGACCAAAAAGATAATTCAAAATGTGCCTATTAACTAATGGCAATATTATTATTACCTCCAGTTTATCGTCTTATTAATCCAATATTCATATCTTATTCAAATAAAGGATTTCAAAGTGAATATCGTATGTTCAAAATATCATGGTTGCCACACGAACTAATAAATGGTAACAATTATCATTCTCAAAATTTGTACCTCAACTCTCATTAGGCTACTTCTAAAACAGGTTGATCTATTATCATGTTGAATGAATGATGACAGCTGCTTGGTTATAATTTAAAATGTTGTCAAAAATCAAGTATAATTACATCACGTGACGAATTTGTGAAATGCGCGTTTATACGGAAATTTGTGGGGAGAGGAAAAATACAACGGATGTTTTTGTTTACAAAAATTTAATTTGAATGTTTACTGTACAATCGGTTATCGGTATCATTAATCATACATTCATTACACCACCAGAGAGAGAAATGACAGGTTCAGAAAATCCTTCATTTGTTCCAGGGAGTCTTCCCTTTGACGAGAACTTATTCACCGATCATGTCCACTCGCCAGTATCAATGAATAGTATTCTAAATCCCGATTTATCAAGTTCATTTCCAAGTATTCCAGAAAGCTCAACTATCGATACAGAGGGGCCAGAAAGCAGTAACTCGCATAGGACAATTGCCGCATCGAAAGTTAAGAAACCCGAAAAGAAACGTGGAGACAGAAGGGAGTTCACGGTAGAGAAGAGAATCCACATGTATGGATTTCACGACGGCGTATCCTTTTACCAGAAAGAAATGGATGCATTTTATAAAGCACAATTGAAAAAGATTGAAAGTGAACCATCGTTCAATAATATTCGAACCAAGTTGAAGAGCCTAGTTAAACCACCGAAGATCACCATTCAGAAACAGGCGGAAGCTCTTGGATGTAAAAGCAGTACGTATCTGTCTGCTATTGATAGAAGGAATTCAAAGCCAGATGGGAACAGTTTGGACAAACCAGCACACAAAAACAGGAAAATCCCCACTCATATGGGACCAACAATTGTGCAATTTGTGAAATCGAATCCTCAGATGACCCGCCTTGAAGTTATTCAACATTTTGGTCTCCTGGTGAGCCTCGAAGGTCTCCGCGTATTTTTGAAGAAGCATGGATATGAACCTCAGCGTGGAACAAAAACAAAAGCAAAAGCAAAAACAGAAACAGAAACAAAACAGAATCTGAAATGATAAATGAGAGCTGACTATCAGTTGGTGATGGCGATTATCACGCTCAAAGAAGTTGTGGATTGCCGCAAGGCTGGAGGTGAACATCAAGGTGGTACTGCGAGACGCTTGTTGCGTATTCATTGCTGGTTATTCCTATCAAATTGGTGAAACAATGTTTCACTGTGAGAGACGTGTTATATTTAATAAATAAGCAAATTGCAATGTATTATTATTACTACACTTACACAACACTAAGCCCAAACTTGTAATTGCTCGTAGAAATCAACTCTCTTGTGTTCTGGGTTGCAAACGTTTTGAGCAGCAAAATAACGGACTTCATCAACCATAGCTGGATGACCACATGTAACAAACGCTACTGAACCATTGGCTTCTTTGATTTCATCAACCACAATTTCTTCAATGGATGGTCTACCTTCTCTGAACTCAATGTGACTCAATTTGGATTTGATGGATTCTTCTTCATCTACATCTTCTTCTGAGTCTTTCGGCTCGACCTTTTTCTCGTCTTCAGAGCTTGGATTCATGTTTGGTTTTGTAACGTAGATGGTTGTTTGAACACAGGTGGTTCGCAAGGATTGAAGCTCTTCATGGAACCAGTTCAACATTGAGTAATCTCTGATAATCCAAATCAACTTCAATGTCTTTTTAGAATCAGAATGTAATCTTCTTGTAGCATACATTGCTTCCGAATAGAGACCAGGGATACCATTACCACCAGCAATATAAACAGCAGAATCCGAGTGTCTGGCAGCAGTTGGCTCACCATAAGGACCCTCAACGCTTACTCTAATAGAAGCGGTTTGGTCTGGTTGTTTGGCTAAGTATTGGTATAATCCATGAGTCATACCACCTTTGACCTTACAAAACAAGATAATGTTTTTGCTATCTGGAGCATCAACAAAGGTAAATGGGTGTGACTGCCAGAAACAAGAAAGACGGAAAATTGAGATGTAAGCATGACCACCTGGAACAGAGTACCAATAACTTGGTTTGGGAATAACAATCTTAATGGTATCATTACTGATTAATGTGATTTGAGCTTTAGGGAACCCAAACCAAACCAATCTTAAGATACGAACCAATCTATCAAAACACCAGACGGCAACAGCAGGATAACAGAACCAAACGTAACCAAGATCATCAACATGAATCCAGGTACCACAAATGTAAAGAGTAGCCATGGCAATGTGGAAAAACAAGAAAATTTCGTACCAGCGTCTTCTTAAGAAAAGTATTGCTTGCAACCAAAGCAAACCACCAGAAATTGTTGCAATTATACCCCAATATATGTATGGCATTTTTGCATCTTCTGCGAAATATTCTTTGATAAGAATTGTATAGTTAACTGAATGGATAATCACTAAGGCTACCATCACTCTAGCTATGTGACGATGGTATGTCATGAATTGGTTGTAGCTCATCCCGGTTAACCATTGCATAAAGTTGTTTCTACCACCAAAAAGGAAAACCAATGGCATCATAACAGTTGCAACTATACCTGTTCTGTCCCCAATATTCTTGAGTCTAAATTTATAGGCAGACTCCCAAACAGGAACCTCTTTAACATAATGTAATTTGACACAATGGACAACAATGATGTAGATATAGAATCCAAGGATTGCAAGTGATTCGTATCTGGAAGGAATCAAGCAGTCAAAGATTTTCAAGAATGGCATTTCTTGTGACTTCCTCTTTCTGAAAGTAGCAGGCATAGAAACATATGATCTCCACCAGGATATTGGAGCAAAGGTCAACTTCTTGATTAATCCTGGGAAAAGGAACTTGGACCAATTGATAATACCTTCAAAGACCATAATCATCAACCAGTAGGCAACTGCACCAATACCATAATAGAATGAACGGTCACCGTTACCAAACCATCCATCATATGCATCGTAATAGTAAGGAATTTCTGTTTGGTTAAGAATAACTGGGAAATCAACTGGTTCACTCATGTTAAAATCAGGGATTGTGCTCACATCAACACCATTTTCAATATAATGTTGGTACAGCTCCTCAAACCAGCCTTCAGGAAGCTTAACATCACCAAAATCAACACAAATGCCTTCAGTTGCTTTGATTACACCTGATGTGTTTCTATTGTTGTAGGACAAACAACCAACAATAGTAGCTAAAGCGTTCTTGTTGGTACAAGTACAAGCAGTATACTTGTATTCACCACATTCGAATTCAGCAGTGGCATCGATTTGGTAGTCACAGGCCCAAAAGACCAACCCATCTCCCATAACAGAGAATTTGGCACCATGAGCAGCAGTAAATGCTGCAATATAGGTGAATAAAATGAAAAATGCACTAGTTTTCATTATTGTGGTTGAAGTAGGGATAAATTTTAATAAATTCACTCCAACATTCTAACGTCATCTTCTAGTTTTTATATTAAAAAAAAAGGAAGACAATGAAAAGATGAAGAATGGTAAATCAAACTTTATTAGTGATTGATTTCCTCCAATAGAAGCCAGTTGATTTTGCAATGAGCTGAGAGTACCGACTGTTAATAAAGGAGTCTTTAGATCATGCATAATAATGAAACAGTTGCCGGTATGAACAATTCTATTTTTATCTGAACGATCTGCGTTACCATTTCTAGTACAAGTGAAAGTAATCGGTTTGTGATATCAAATCTAACAAGTGGCGTTTAAAATATTATCCATTTATCGATTGTGTAAACTTCTTCTTAGGCTATCTTGCTTACAGTGAGTTTGGATGGTAAGGCGTTAATTGATAATTTATCTTAACGATCAAAGCGCTACCACTTTCGAAATAAAATCCCCAAATTAAATGACACAAATCAACATGTCTTGGCATAGTATTTAGTTTAAACTTCAGACAAGGGCGTCAACAACTATTCACCGTCTGTAACCAATCACAATCTTTTCCGTGATTGCAATTCAGGTGCATTTGAAACCATGTAGGATCTTTTTGTTTTCATGACCCAATTAGAAGCTGCTTAAAACTAATTTACGAATTGAATTATTTATTCAAACTACACAATTACTAAAGCCACCAAAATGTTTGAGAATTTCGCGTATTTTACTCATCTCTTAAAGTTTATTGCATTTTGCGTAAATAATATTTCAAAAGGAATCTTAATGTAAATGAATAAGAATAATAATAAAAGAAAATGAAGTGTATGAATAAATGATGTAAATCAAAGATTGACAACTATTAGTGAGAAAGATTTTTCAGATATGTGCCTCATGTCCAATAAATTTCGTCAGAGTAATTACATGATTAGTTTCGGCAAAATTTCAACTTCACTGTTTGATTTAGATAGAAAAGATTAGCTCGTAAACTTTATTAGAAATTGGGGGAGAATTAAATAATCAATGGAAACTTTGTGGTTTAAACCACACCAACACAAAACCACAATTTGGTTATATTGTTCTTCCTGAATACAATATCCCTACATCCATCTTATTTCCATTAATCCATACCTGGGGATCATTGGTAGTATTTCTGTCGAACAATATGCTTTCATAATAAATGTTGAGCCTTTCCAGGTATCTCTACATCGTCCAAGTGAAATGGCTTTTGGAATGTCAAATAAATAGTTCTAACCAGGAACAGGTGTGGCAGATCTTGGCATAGCCCTTGAAAACTTGCTACTGGAAGCAACTTTTATTTCCGTTAAGAAATGGCAATTTGATCCTTAGCCGTTATTCATGGATATAAGCAAGTCACCGGGTTTATTTTAAGACAACGTCACAAAAAGGGTTTGTAATTTATCTGTACTGCAGTTGGTTATTTTAATAAATACAGCTTCACCTTGAAGTAGCGCCTTCTGCCAAAGTTTTTGCCGTTCACTTGATTTCCATTAAATTTCAATATGCCCTTCTTTTCAATTAAAGGTAGTTCCTTGATGAAAAATTGATTGGTGAGAAATCGACCAACTATTTTGGTTAATTTCACAATTTTTTGGGAATTGCCTGATATTGTACCGTTTAAAATTTTAGATGAACTATATTCTCCAGCACAAGAAAGAATTCTCGTTAATATTCTATCGCCTTTTATTTTCATTTCTAAAGGGACAAAGACTAGGGTGCTTTTTCTCTGTGATTAATACGGAAGTATTTAGTGATACTTTAAAAGCGCATTCGTCTTTGATCAGTGCACGACTTTTTGTTTTCCCACGCAAAATGCCAACCTGTACTTCTTTAGGTAACATATCTAGTCACAACAACAAGACAAGTTGTCTACTATTGAGCTTAATCGATAATGCTTACAAATGAAATTTAGTGACAAAATTAGTGGTTGCTTGATTTTCACTTAGGCTACTAATTTACATGTGTCTACTGATGGAACATAGTTGTCTACGAACAAACCAACACAGTTCGTAGTTCTACTGTCTTCTCAAATATGAAGAACAATAACAATATTAATCGAATCAGGAATATTTAACATAATTATGTGGTTATAAATTGAATACTTAACGGCCAACATTACATCTATTTTTATGTGATCATCTGACTTCTTATCACGTGTATAATACGCGTGACACATAGTTATTGATATTTCTTTACTTATGATATCCCAATAATAAACGCAACATTTATTCATGTTCTATTTCCAAAGTCGTATCCAGATCTATTAAATAATTTGTTTATTTCAGTGATCGAATGATATATCCTATCAACGTGACAATTTTATTAATAATATCGTAGTTTTTTGTACAAAATTGGGATTTAAATGGCAGCAAAACTTTATTTTACAATTAGTTATCCATTGGTTCATTAGTTCTTCTTAAATAATACTTATCAACAACATAAGAGAAATTGTCATTATTATTGCGCTCTAAAGGATGTCATTGAATATGTCTTGAAGAATGGATGATACACAAGTTGTATATTTAACTATAAAACGAAACAAACATGATCGTTTGTATTGATTTTTTTATAATTGCTTTGTATCATATGGTTTTTTCTTTTTTATTCTTTCCAAGCATGTGCTTAATAATCGCAAATCTTTAGGGAATATGATTGTTTCGTAAATCGCTGAATCATCTACGAGAAAGTAAACAAACAGAGGTTACATATTCAGTCTGGTCATTGTAACCATGAAGTAGGAGGGGAAAAATTCAATTGCTTCCAGAAAAGATGTTTAAATTTGTAAATTAATCTTCTAAGGGTGAAATATTGCGTTTGATATTGAACAACAATGGAATTCAATTCTACTAGACATTGCAAATGCCCCTAACTATACACGATTATATAAGCGCGCATTTACTTTCAAACAATTGGCACAATTGTGGTTCAAGTAAAAGATGAAAAAAATAAACCATCATTGAGAATTGTATAATTTGTAAAAATGTTATCTTTCAGACTAAGTGTGCAGGGCTAATAACAAAACTAATTAAGCGAATATGTTGCCCATCACAAATGGCGTTTTATTTATGCTTATCAACAAATAACATCTATTAAAAACAGTTATCTTTGGTTTGAACCAAATATAAATGACGATTGATGTATGATCTAAATTCCCAAGTGGAAAATAATGGCTGAACCTTTGGATTTGTATTCTTGGTATTCACAGGTAAGTGGGTTATCCATTGATATTCTTCCAATCAATTGATAAATTTAGACTAAGATTTACATTCATATACGGGGTGAAACCTTTCACCTGGATTAGAAGGTAATACATTCCTGGTGTTCAAGTTCTATTTTATGGAAAGGAAACTGATATTGTAGCAGAACAAAGTTTACGAGTTTCACAAAGATATACATATAAAACCAACAAATTACGTCTCTATTTATGAAATTTAGCCGTATATTAACAACTTGAATACCATTAACAACTATTAGAAATGTCCGATAAAACACAAATCAATAGAGAAGGGAATCAGTTAACAGTTGATAATTATGGTGGGTTCGATGCTCATATATTAGAAGATATCCAAAATTTAGCCAGAGAATTCACTCATGAATCTACTACGAATGGTAATAATGATTTACAGAGATTGCATACAAATATGTCAGAAGTACCAGGTATTAACCCATATACTGATGAAGCCCATTCCCGTGAAAAATTGAATCCTGAGTCAGATAATTTCAACGCCAAGCTTTGGGTCAAGAACTTAAGAAAATTGTATGATTCAGATCTAGAGTATTACAGGCCCACTAAATTGGGAGTGGCTTATAGCAACTTGAGAGCTTATGCTGTAGCCAATGATTACAATTATCAACCGACAGTAGCAAATGTCTTCTGGAAACTAATAAATGATGGTGTGCATTATTTGAAGAAGCACGATAATTCAATATACTTTGATATTTTGAAACCAATGGATGGAATAATGAAACCAGGTGAACTTACAGTTGTTTTGGGTAGACCAGGAGCTGGCTGTTCCACATTGTTGAAAACATTGGCGTCACAAACATATGGATTTCATATTGGTAAAGAATCAAAAATTATCTATGATGGAATATCATCAACAAAGATTGAAAATCATTATCGTGGTAATGTTATCTATTCTGCAGAAACCGATGCTCATTTCCCACATTTAACTGTTGGTCAAGTTTTGGAATTCGCTGCTAGAATGAGAACACCACAGAACAGAGGTGAGGGTGTTGATAGAGAAACATTTGCTAAACACATGGCTAGTGTTTACATGGCAACCTATGGTTTGTTACATACAAGGAATACAAATGTTGGAAATGATTTTGTTACAGGTGTTTCCGGTGGTGAAAGAAAAAGAGTTTCCATTGCAGAAGCATCGTTGAGTGGTGCTAATGTTCAATGTTGGGACAATGCCACAAGAGGCTTAGATGCCGCCACTGCATTGGAATTTATCAAAGCTCTAAAAACATCTGCAGTTATTTTGGAAAGCACTCCTATAGTTGCCATCTATCAATGTTCACAAGATGCTTATGATTTGTTTGATAATGTTGTTGTATTGTATGAAGGACATCAGATCTTCTTTGGTAAAGCCAATAAAGCCAAGGAGTATTTCATCAGAATGGGCTATGATTGTCCCCAAAGACAGACAACAGCTGATTTCTTGACTTCCTTAACAAACCCTTCAGAGAGAAGGGCATTACCAGGATATGAAAATAAAGTGCCACGAACCCCAGAAGAGTTTGAAGCGTATTGGAAGAGATCACCGGAGTATACTATGTTGATAAATGAAATTGATTCATATTTCATTGAATGTGAAAAGTTAAACATCAAACAAACTTACCACGAGTCCCATGTTGCAAGACAATCAAACCATACTCGTCCTACATCACCTTACACGGTGTCATTCTTCATGCAAGTTAAATATGTTATGCAACGAAATTTTCTTCGTATGAAAGCTGACCCTTCAATCCCACTTATTATGATATTTTCCCAATTAGTCATGGGACTACTTCTTGCATCTGTTTTCTTTAATCTAAAGAAAAATACTACCACTTTCTACTACAGATCTGGTTCTCTTTACTTTGCTTTAGTATTCAATGCTATCTCCTCTCTTCTTGAAATTGTTGCTCTTTTTGAAGCAAGACCAATAGTTGAGAAGCACAAGAAATTTGCACTATACCGACCATCAGCAGATGCTTTAGCCAGTATCATAACAGAATTACCTGTTAAACTAAGTATGTCTTTATGTTTCAACATACCTTTCTATTTCATGGTTGGTCTCAGGAGTGGTGCTGGAAGATTTTTCTTTTATTGGTTAATTGGAATATTATGCACTCTTGTAATGTCACACATTTTTAGATCAATTGGTTCTATGTTTACTAGTTTAGCAGGTGCAATGACGCCAGCTGGAGTGATATTATTAGCGATTATTGTCTTCACTGGCTTCGTTATTCCCTATCCAAGCATGCTAGGTTGGTCTAAATGGATCAAATGGATAAACCCGGTTAGTTATATGTTTGAATCACTTATGGTGAACGAATATCACGATAGAGAATTTCCTTGTGGTCAGATTGTCCCATCAGGCTCGGGATATGACAATCTTCCTCTTGAATACAAAGTATGTTCCAGTATAGGGGGTATTCCTGGTAGTGATGTTGTTCGAGGTGATGATTATTTACGAGTTGGGTTTGAATTTTTCAATTCCCACAAATGGAGAAATTTTGGCATATCTTTTGCGTTTGCGGTGGTTCTTTTGTTTCTCTATATTGCATTGACAGAACTTAATAAAGGAGCCATCCAAAAAGGGGAAATAGTATTGTTCTTAAGAAGTTCTTTAAAAAAACACAAAAGACGATTTACCGAGTTCGATATTGAATCTGGTTCAACAGTTGAGAATATTAGTATTCAGATTGTACAGAAAGCATCTATTGAACAAAATAGTATTCGAGACAGTTGCAATTTACCCTCAGATAAAGAAATTTTCTTCTGGAAAGATTTGACATATCAAGTCAAGATTAAAAGAGAAGATAGAGTAATTTTAGACCATGTTGATGGTTGGGTTAAGCCAGGCCAGATTACTGTATTGATGGGTGCATCTGGAGCTGGAAAAACCACCTTATTGAACTGTTTATCCAACAGAGTAACTACTGGTGTTATTACTGCTGGTGTACGAATGGTTAACGGACACGAGTTAGATTCTTCCTTCCAAAGGTCAATTGGTTATGTACAACAACAAGACATTCATTTACAGACATCTACTGTTAGAGAAGCTTTGCAGTTTTCTGCATATTTGAGACAATCAAACAAAATATCTAAGAAGGAGAAGGATGAATATGTTGACTACGTCATTGACTTGTTGGAGATGACTAACTATGCGGATGCATTGGTTGGTGTTGCCGGTGAAGGTTTGAATGTTGAACAAAGAAAGAGATTAACCATCGGTGTTGAATTAGTTGCCAAGCCTAAGTTGTTACTATTCTTGGATGAACCAACTTCTGGTTTAGATTCCCAAACCGCCTGGTCTATTTGTAAATTAATGAGAAAGTTAGCTGATCATGGCCAAGCTATCTTGTGTACTATACATCAACCGTCTGCAATTATTATGGCTGAATTTGATAGATTGTTGTTTTTACAGAAAGGGGGCCAAACTGTGTATTTTGGTGCATTAGGTGATAATTGCCAGACAATGATTGACTATCTCGAAAACCATGGTGCTGACCCATGTCCAAAAGATGAAAATCCAGCAGAATGGATGTTAGAAATTGTTGGCGCAGCTCCAGGTTCTCATGCCAAACAAGATTATTTTGAAGTTTGGAGAAATTCTAATGAATATGAAGCTGTCAGAAACCAACTCAACCGAATGGAAACTGAATTAGTCATGCTACCAAGAGATGAAGATCCAGAAACACTTTTAAAATATGCGGCACCTATTTGGAAACAATATTTGCTTGTTAGTTGGAGAGCAATTGTACAAGATTGGAGATCACCAAGGTATATATATTCCAAATTTTTTCTAATTGTTATATCATCCATATTTATTGGGTTTTCATTTTTCAAAGCTAAGAATGATATTCAAGGTTTATCAAATCAAATGCTTGCAGTTTTTATGTATACTGTTCCATTGACAACAATAGTTGATCAAGTGTTGCCATTTTTTGTGAGACAACGCGAGGTATTTGAAGTTCGAGAAGCACCTTCAAGAACATACAGTTGGTTTGCATTTATTACTGGCCAAGTAACCTCAGAGCTACCTTATCAGATTGTTGTGGGAACAATTGCATTTTTTTGTTGGTATTATCCTGTTGGTTTATATGAAAACGCAGAGCCGACCCATACTGTTACTGGTCGGGGTGTATTATTGTGGTTGTTCATCACTTCGTTCTATGTATTTGCTTCTACATTTGGACAATTATGCATCTCATTCAACGAGTTAATTGAAAATGCAGGATGCTTATCAGCAACTTTATTCTTACTATGTTTGATGTTTTGTGGTGTTTTGGCTGTTCCAGAAAGTATGCCCAGGTTTTGGATTTTCATGTATCGATGTACACCATTTACATATTGGATTCAGGGTGTTTTAGCTACCGGTTTGGCACATAATAAAGTTGAATGCTCTTCAAGGGAGTTTCTTGTAGTCACTCCTCCAGTTGGGCAAACATGTTCCTCGTTCTTAGATCCATATATCAGTGTAGCAGGGGGTTATTACTTAGTTAATGAGAAGGAGGGTTGTTCATTTTGTGCAATGAATTCAACGGATCAATTTTTGAATAGTATTCATGCTTTGTATAGTGAAAGATGGAGAAATTTTGGTATATTTATTTCCTTTATTGTTAGTAATATTGTGTTGGCTGTATTCTTATATTGGTTAGCAAGAGTTCCAAAGGGGGCTAAATCAAGCACACGGAAATAATATATGTTGTCTACCGTTTAATAAAAATGTTTCGTTATTTTAATATTAATAAGCACTTTTATGACGTGAACTACTGACGTCTTAATCATTATACACCACTAGAAAAATTATACACTTGCAATACCCATTTTAGTTTGCTTATGATTTCCAGGCATTCCGATTCATTAGCAGCTATTAAATAAAACTTCTTCATCGGAATTTCTTTACTATTGGTGTTGTTAATATTCGTCGTGTTTCCATTCGTAGTAACTCCTCCATTAACAGTATCTTCATCCATTGATTGTTGACTCTGAATAATTATTCTGAAATAACTTGGGTTTTTTATATACTGCTTTAATTTAAGTATTTGAGTTATATGGAACGAATATGTCTTTGACAGTTGTTTATTGTGATTCTTGTTGAACTGATGATTCAAATAGTTATGATGGTGATGTCCTCCCAAATTATTTGTCACGGAGGATTCACCTCCAGGAACCCTCAATGTCAAGTCATCAGGAGGTGTTAAATGAATATAATCTCCATCAATAATGAAATTCTTTTCACTGAAATTTTTAATCTTCATCTTACTGTTGTTCTTTAATACTTTCCACTTGAAGTAAATGGTGTTCAAGTTTATTGGCAATTCTGGATTGTTTCCCTTCAAAATATCATCGAGATATTTGTTGGAACTGATGGCTTGTTTAATTGAATTAGTTGAATTGACTGAAGTCTTACGGTCTTGCTCTCTAAGTGGGATAGGTAAACCTGGTTGTTTTTGGGCTTCCAGCAAGTTCAAACTACTCATCTTTTCATCTAATTGATCAGCATTAGGGGTAATGTTTGGTAATGTGTAATCCAGAGGTGTAATCTTTGCTTCAATCATTCCAATATTATAACTTGATTCAATAATCAGGTTATGTCTCGTTTCCAGTGGAATTAACTCCAAAACCTTCAGTGGTAAATTACCACATTTCTCCACATCTCTAACAAAACCACTTTGACCGGTGCTTTGATCAACCATTTTAAATCGATATTTTGTAAGTACTAAACCATTCTGAGCACAAAATTCTTTCAAAACCTGGCCCATAGAATAGTCACTTGGAACTTTTATAGATTGCTTCTTAGGTAAGCCGTCATTGTCGTATTCAAATACTCCAATTTGCAATTCAATTTTCTCAGCATTTGAATCACCAAACTCACTTTCAACAAGTTGATTAATACTGTGTCGTTTACGTTGGAAGGATTCAAGATTATTTTTGAATGCTAAAGGTAATGGAGATTGTGATTCATTTTTCGCAAGCTCACTTTTACTGGAAACTTTGCAAATTGCTAACTCTTTTGGATTATTATAAGATGAAAGTAATCTTGTACGATCTAATATCCCAAAAGATCCATAATTTTCACCATCCTCGTCCACCAATTCTAGCCGCCAGTTGTTGGGATTCAAGTAGGTAAAATCATTCACTTTGCTAAATTCTGGAAGTTTACAAAGGTAAAGTAAAACGTATCCGATACAATCTGAGATGGCAATATTATCAACCATGGCTAAATTTTTGATAGATGCTTTTGTGCATGGCGGTACAAATATGTCAATCAATGCTTTGTGAGACGATGCATTACTAGCATCGACAAAGGAATAATAATTTAATGGATTAACATGGTTTGATTTATACTTGGAATGAATCAATGAACTTAAATTCGAATTCTTTGAATGCTCTAGTTTAGTAGGTTCGATCTTTGTAAACTGCAATGTAGGTTTCTTTCCCATAGTCGAAATTCCAAGGTACGATTTATTATGACTGACAGATGATGAGCGTGGTCTTATGGATGTTTTAGGAACTGTATGCTGATCAAAAGGATCAGTTTTCTTCTTCTTTCTACTTTTCCTGGTATCAAACTCAGAAACGTTACTAGTCCGAACAAAGGAAAAACTGTCTTCTCGATTATCGGTATAAGTAGAATCCATTAATAACGATGAATCCATCATAGAATCATTATCCAAATCCGTAAATTCAGAGTCATTAGAACCTAAGTCACCATCTAATTCTGATTCATCCGATGCTTCCTCATATTCATACTCATCATCACCATCGTCTTCGTCCTCTTCAATTTCATCTTCGTCGTCAACTTCATCTTGAATTTCATCATCATCATCATCATCATTAGGATTATAGTTATGGACGACGTGCCCTCTGGAGTTTACCGGCACTCCAAAATCACTATCAATTGTGACAGCATCACTCCTATCCTCACTTTTTCTAGAAGGAAGTTCTTCACGTTTCTCTTGTTCTGTAGCATCGCCATCTTCTGTGGTCACTTCTTCCAAGTTATTATTATTCAGAGAACTAAAACTTTCTGCAGGGTATAATTTCATTCGTCTTTGTTCAACATCACTATCACTATCACTATCACTATCTGTATCAGATATCGCATCATGGTTGGCTTCCTGTTTTCCTGATTGGAAAAACTTGTTTACAATAGGTATTTTTGTTCGTGATTTTGGTCTTTGCTTCTTGTTGCCACTAGATCCACGGATCGTTTTGGTATATCGTAGCCCAAAATTGGCACTGTTGTTGGATGTTGTATTTGAGTCTGTTGGTGATTCATCGATGTTTGTGGTTTCGTTGTTATTATCACCAGTTTTGTTGGTTTCTGAGTCTTCAGTCAATTGGCCATTAAGTATTGAATCAGCTGTATAGTTTGTATTAGCATCCGTCGGTGGATAATCCAAAGAATCTGTTTTTGTGGCCACGCAATTGTTCAATTCTTCATCATCTAGTTTATGCTCATCCTCTACTATGTCTTCGTCTTCTTCGTGGGTTAACGTGATAGTTGAAGTGTTAGCATTATCTGGGCTTGCTGATTCTTTTATTAATGCTTCATGTTTCGGTTTCCTTCTCAATCTTTTCTTTTTCTTTTTGCGAGATTTCTTGGATACGTTTATGTGAGATAATGAATTGAATGAATCTGTGAACTTTGTATTATTATGTACTGATTTCTTTAAATGTCTTGCAATTTCAAAAGTAATAGGGGGAGAATCGGGAATGATCGGTACGGTTTGTGGTTGATCACTGGACAACGGAATAGGTTTTAAGAGCTTCCTAGTGTAATCTGATTCTTCATCTAGTACAAGGTATGAAGTTCTAAGGTGATGTATTAGCTGTTGTTGGTTTAGTGGGAAAGCCATTTGTCTCGAGGTTTAAATACAAAACAGTGTGAAAAGTAATATGCGATAAAGTGTGTATATGGAATGGCAATAATCCTTGGTAAATAGTTGTCACAGCTACTATTGCATAACGTTCACTTCAAATATATCAATATGTAGAACAAGCTAAGACGATGATGTGCTTTAATTTGTAGCCGTTAATATTGATGTAGATTTTTGAAAAAAAAAAAAATAACTCAAGGACGATTGATCTGTTTTAGTTTGATACATGAACCTTTTTTTTTCTGGTTTCAACTGTAAGGACCAAAGTAAAATTCCAGTACAAACTGCGTTTGGTTTATCTATCACGTGTAAGGGGAAAAATACAACGGATGTTTTTGTTTACAAAAATTTAATTTGAATGTTTACTGTACAATCGGTTATCGGTATCATTAATCATACATTCATTACACCACCAGAGAGAGAAATGTCAGGTTCAGAAAATCCTTCATTTGTTCCAGAGAGTCTTCCCTTTGACGAGAACTTATTTACCGATCATGTCCACTCGCCAGTATCAATGAATAGTATTCTAAATCCCGATTTATCAAGTCCATTTCCAAGTATTCCAGAAAGCTCAACTATCGATACAGAGGAGCCAGAAAGCAGTAACTCGCATAGGACAATTGCCGCATCGAAAGTTAAGAAACCCGAAAAGAAACGTGGAGACAGAAGGGAGTTCACGGTAGAGAAGAGAATCCACATGTATGGATTTCACGACGGCGTATCCTTTTACCAGAAAGAAATGGATGCATTTTATAAAGCACAATTGAAAAAGATTGAAAGTGAACCATCGTTCAATAATATTCGAACCAAGTTGAAGAGCCTAGTTAAACCACCGAAGATCACCATTCAGAAACAGGCGGAAGCTCTTGGATGTAAAAGCAGTACGTATCTGTCTGCTATTGATAGAAGGAATTCAAAGCCAGATGGGAACAGTTTGGACAAACCAGCACACAAAAACAGGAAAATCCCCACTCATATGGGACCAACAATTGTGCAATTTGTGAAATCGAATCCTCAGATGACCCGCCTTGAAGTTATTCAACATTTTGGTCTCCTGGTGAGCCTCGAAGGTCTCCGCGTATTTTTGAAGAAGCATGGATATGAACCTCAGCGTGGAACAAAAACAGAAACAAAACAGAATCTGAAATGATAAATGAGAGCTGACTATCAGTTGGTGATGGCGATTATCACGCTCAAAGAAGTTATGGATTGCCGCAAGGCTGGAGGTAAACATCAAGGTGGCACTGCGAGACGCTTGTTGCGTATTCATTGCTGGTTATTCCTATCAAATTGGTGAAACAATGTTTCACTGTGAGAGACGTGCTATATTTAATAAATAAGTAAATTGCAATGTATTATTATTACTACACTTACACAACACTAAGCCCAAACTTGTAATTGCTCGTAGAAATCAACTCTCTTGTGTTCTGGGTTGCAAACGTTTTGAGCAGCAAAATAACGGACTTCATCAACCATAGCTGGATGACCACATGTAACAAACGCTACTGAACCATTTGATTCTTTATATTGGCTTTGTGTTGCAACATTTCATTATAGAAAACTCCAACATTATAGACAAACAGTAGCACAAATTGCGCATCGTCATTTTGTCACGTGAACATTTATTCAAGGGAAAGAAAATCAATCCCCCTTTTTATCTTATTACTTTCATCTATGATTCTGGCCACGATAAAATTGTTTATGACGTCATCACGTGATATCAGCATATGTAGAACTTGCTATTGCAGTTGAATCAATTTTATGGCAAAATTATTTTGCCCTTTTTCTCTGCTTTACCTTAGTTATATTTACATAATATGGATTTAGCAACATCTCTTTGAAATAGTTTCCAGATTGACGTTATACAACAGTCATTATCAACTCTACATATTCAGACTATTGTTATTGTCTCTCTAATAGAAGTTACTTTCAATACATGGATAAGCACATGGATGTATGGTTAACTGATTAGTCAAGTTACCTTGGTGTTTGATATCCTTTACTTACTAGAACAGTTTTTTTGTGCATACTTGAGTGTGTGAATGTGCAACAAAAGCAACAAAAGTTAATCAAAGAAAAAGAACAGCCTAAAAAAAAAAAAATCGAAAAACGTTCACCAGAATTTTTCTTCCCTTGTCGTCCTTTTTCCACAGCCGAAAGCTCATAGAACAACAACAACAAAAAAAAAATAGGCAGTGAGTTTCATTGTAGTTGAAATCAAGCTCACTTTTTTTTTTCTCCAATCCCCCTTGTTGTTTCTTTCCAATTCCAAATTGCAAGTTATATATATACTTATTATATATTCAAAGGCTTAACCCATTGGTGGTATGGATCAATAATTGAAAATATCAATGGAATATCGGAATAATACAAGAAGAGAATCAAATATAATAGCAAATACAAGATAAATATGACATTACCAACTTTTAGATACAGCTTCCACCACAAAAGCAGCAATAAGGATAAACAAGAACATCATGAAGAGGATATACATGAACAGGATGATGAAAAACAGATGAGTCCCACCAGTTTGAGGGACTTGCACGACGATTTGGACGATATTTATAATAATTACACTATTGCCGCGCAAGCCAATAATGATAGTGTTGATACCTTGGATTCCGAACATAACCAAGCAGAAAATGCATTTATTTACAAATCACCTACACAACCACAAGATTTGCCTGTTGTTCATATATCATCCAGGTTATCATCATTGGAAAATGTTTCCGCTGAAATGGGTGCTAGAACAGACCCTGGAACCCCCTTATCCACCAACTCTTTTGATTTCAGACCTGCATATCCACGAGCAATTACCAACTCATCATTGAATGTATTATTAGATAGTCCGAATGTCAGCACAGAGTTCAATCATCTAGTCGACCAAACACCTCCCCCTGAGCCTATCGAGGAAACAGTTGCCCATGAAGTTGTTGGTGAGTATATGTCTGAAAATGAAGAACAAGAAGAATGTGAAAATGCAGAGGAGCAAGGATCAGAGAAAGAAACTTCAAGCGATGAAATTCCTGTCGCTCCTCAACTAAAGAAAAGTAAAGAAGATTGGGAGAGAAGAGGATCAGCAATCAAAACGGTTCACACTCCAGCAGGAGAAACCAAGGTCATTCGAAGAAGTGTCACTGATTTTAAATTTGGTAAAGAATTGGGAGAAGGTTCTTATTCAACTGTCATTCTTGCTACTGATAAGATTACATCTAAACAATATGCTGTCAAAGTTCTTGATAAACGTCACATAATTAAAGAAAAGAAGGTCAAATATGTCAATATTGAAAAACATGCTCTAAACAGATTGAGTGATAGACTAGGCATAATCTCGTTATATTTCACTTTCCAAGATAAAGACTCTCTTTATTTTGTATTAGATTATGCTTCCAATGGCGAGTTGTTGACTTTGATTAAAAAATACAATACCTTAAATGAAGAGAGCACCAGACATTTTGGTGCACAAATATTGGATGCGATAAAGTATATGCATGACAATGGTGTGATTCATCGTGATTTGAAACCAGAGAATATTTTAATTGACGATCAAATGAGAGTTAGAATTACTGATTTTGGTACTGCTAGACTATTAGAAAAGAAAAATGATGATAGCGAAGATTACCCAATTGATGTCAGAGCCAAATCCTTCGTTGGTACGGCTGAATACGTGTCACCAGAATTATTGGAAAGCAAATATTGTGGTAAACCTGGTGATATATGGGCCTTTGGTTGTATCATCTATCAAATGATTGCTGGTAAGCCTCCGTTTAGAGCTACAAATGAATATTTGACGTTTCAAAAGATCACGAAATTGCAGTATGCATTTAGTGCTGGTTTCCCCACAGTTATTCGAGACTTGATTAAGAAGATTCTTGTGTTGCAACCATCTAGACGTGCCACTATTCCTGAGATCCAAAACCATTATTTCTTTCAGTCAATTGACTTTGATGACTTCGACCTGATTTGGCTTTCCGAGCCTCCCGAACTTGGACCTTATAAGATGACTGCGAAATCCATGATGAAAATACCCGAATTGAACAAAACACCAGGTCCTGCTTTTAGAAAAAAGATTGTCAAGAAAACGGTTGCACCTACTAAACCTAAGTCACAAATACCATCTACCGCTGCGGGCAATGGTACTCATGGTACATCACCAGCTCCAGAACTAAGATCGCCAAACACAGCACATAATAACAAGTCTACTGATGGTGTTAGCGCCGCATCAGTTGCCGCTTTTGTGTTAAATAAACCGCAGACAAACTCGGATACCAGTGTTTCTGATGATTCACCAAAGGGGTCAGCCCATAGCGAGTCTAAAGAAGTCAGTAATAAGAGAACAATTCATGCCCCTGGAGATTACATTCCTGGTACCAATATTTTACGTCCACAAATTGCAACAAGAGCTCCGATTGCCAGTTATGCCAGACAATCTGCATCTACAAAGGAGAGAGAACGTGATAGGGGATCATTATCAAGACAGCCACTGAATCAGCAACAGCATGTTGTCCAAAAATCTGAACCTGTGAAACCACAACCAATGGAGGTTACGCCAATGACTACATTGGAAGCAGCATGGGGATCATATTTGACACACCCGGATGAAAGAGTTATAAGACTTGGTCCCGTCATTGTGCATAAGGAGCCAACTGAACCATTTGAAAGAAAAAATAAAGCCTCGTTGCATGCTTCGCCGTTGAATTTAAAAAATGCTACTCAAAGGAATCGATCAAATACGAGTTTGATGGCACAGTTAGTTAATGAAGTGAACAATAATGCGTTGGAATTTAAGAACAATGAAAATGCAGATGAGTCGCTTGCAATTTTAGAACCACAATACAACATGAAAAGAAGTTCATCAACTGCGAGTGGAAAGAACAGTGTAGATCTCCAAAGATCTGGTTCGACTTCTGGTGGAAGTAGCAATAAACTGGGCAAGAAATCGTTCTTCAAAAAATTGGGATTCAGTCACATCGACAGACATGAGAATGATGATTCTCGTGGTCCAAGCTTGACTGACAGGCCCCAGACCTGTACTATGGTGGTTACAACTCACGGTAGAGCATTACTTTTTACAAGAGATGAAGGTGAATCGAATTTTATTTTATTGGCAGAGGTTAGATTGAAGTATCCATTCATCCATTTTCAAGAGTTGGTTTCTTCACAGAGTAAGCTTTCCAAAATGTTACCTTCTGTTGGTGTTTTTGTGATTAGTTCTATTGATAATTCTCTTGTTTTTGAAGTGGAGACTTTTGAAGTTAATCCATGGACGGAAGCATTGGCAAAGTCAAAGTTCAATGAACTAGAAAGAGAAAAATTAGCTGAATATGAATCACAACAATCTAAGAAGGATACTATTGTTGCTCCTATTCCAAAGAAGCTGTCCCTGTCAGCCGTTTCATCTCCTAAACTTTTGGACTCTCCAGCATTTGACCCTCATAATAAGTCGAATGCACAATCAGCTCAAAGATCTACTAATATAAAGACTACTACAAGTCCAACACAATCACCTCGTGAAGCGAATGCAAGACCATCTAATATGTTGAAAGCAAAGATTTTATCGAGCGGTCCAAGAAGAAAGCCACCACCAGTTAGTCCTCCACCGACTAGTCCAAAAAATGAACTTAATTATCATACAGGGTTACCAAATAAATCAAATTCCAATGGGATGTTGCATGCTGCGAAATTGGCCGTATCACAAAATACGCATTCTTCGTACCATCATAGCCATGGTCGTTCAAGTTTTACTAAGGAGGATGGAAGCAAAGTTGATCTTAACAAACTCAGGTCACACAATACCCAAACTAATGGTAATAAAACTACACCTGGTGTAACTCAGTTGAATTCAAAGTTCCTAGCAAGAAGTACTAGAAAAAAGTAATGAATTTGGTCAACTTTCAACATCTCCTATCCCCTTCTCCTCCTTCTTGTCCAACTACTCAACCAATTCACGCTTATTCGAAACAAAGAGAACATGATCAATCACACATGAAACTAGAAGAGGAATAACAAACATATACATATATAGTTATATATTATTATACATAAATTTTAAAAATGTACTTCATTGATTTTTTTTGTATGTATCCATATGGTGCTGAATGTCAGAGATTTGTTCAAACATAATTCGTTAGGGTTGTAGCCCTAGTTTGTATACAGGCTTAATTAATTGTGCAGTGCACTCCATAGTTAAGGAAGTTATTTTTTTCCTTTTCGCACACAATACATTGTAAACTATGTTCCCCTCGCTTCTCGTCATAATGTATGGTGCGCCGAACCACACACACACAGTGCGAGTACGAACCAGTGAGAGATGTCTAGCAAAGGAAGAAAAAAAAATTTCATACTTTCCAAAAAAAAAAAAAAAAGAAAGAGGAATTTTCATAGTTTTGATACATACTATAAGATATTAAGAACCAAAAATGGCTAAATTCATCAAATCTGGTAAAGTTGGTATGTAAATATCATGGAATGATAGAATGAATAGTGATAAATGCCAACTGGAGAGAATGGATTAATTGAAAAGAGATCTAGAGAATTTGAAACTGATGAGAAGTGAAAAAATTTTCATAATTGATGAGGATATCAGTAGAGTCAATATTACAAGCAAATACTTCATAACTAGAAGATGAATATGAATTGGAATTGAAATATGAATAGGAATATTCGAAATATTGAAGTGGTCAGACTAGGTTGACAGATTAATTCAGTATATTACAAACAATCGTATAATGGGACCAATTAAAAAATGTATCATCAGAATAATAGAAAAGATAATAAGAGTACTCAGGGCATTGTTAAATCACAAATCAAAGATATTTTATATGAATAAGTTTTTTTTATGAATACTAACTAATTATATTTTTTAGCTATCGTCGTTAGAGGTCGTTACGCTGGTAAAAAAGTAGTCATTGTCAAACCACATGACGAAGGTACCAAATCTCATCCATTCCCACACGCCATTGTTGCTGGTGTTGAAAGAGCCCCATTGAAGGTTACCAAGAAGATGGATGCTAAGAAAGTTGCCAAGAGAACTAAGGTCAAGCCATTTGTTAAATTAGTCAACTACAACCACTTGATGCCAACTAGATACTCTTTGGATGTCGAATCTTTCAAATCTTCTGTTACTTCTGAATCTTTGGAAGAACCAACCCAAAGAGAAGAAGCTAAGAAAGTCGTCAAAAAGGCTTTTGAAGAAAAACACCAAGCTGGTAAGAACAAATGGTTCTTCCAAAAATTACACTTCTAAGAAAAACCAAAAAATGCTCCTGGATTGTGTGTTGAAAGAATATATCTGTATAGTATAATTTAATGGGATTTTAAAACAGAAAACAAAAAACCGATATCTTATAATCAAAAATATAATAAAACTAAATAATGTAGATGACACTTCCCCGTAGTTAACAAAAGTTAATTCGAACAGTTGAAGCACACACACGATTGACTTACATCTGTAATGTGTAAGCACCACCATACTCTCGTAGTTTGAAAATTTTTTGCGAGACAACTTGATATCACAATAGAGACCAGGAAAAAAAAAATCATTGGGTTTTTGAAAAAGCCCATCTTGAGATCAAACTTACACTCATAGAGATTAGTTACAACTGAAACAATAGAAATGTCAGTTGAAGAAAAAGTTGCCGACTTAAAGGTCTCCGAAGGAACTGAACAAAAAATCACACCATGGGAAGTTGAAGGTGCCGTTGTTGATGGTAAAGCCATGGGTATTGATTATGATAAATTAATCAATCAATTTGGTACCAAACATATCACCCCAGAAACTTTGACTAGATTCAAAGAAGTCACTGGAGTAGAACCACATCCATTTTTGAAAAGAGGTGTTTTCTTTTCCCAAAGAGATTTAGACCGTATTTTGGATTTATATGAACATGGTGAACCATTTTTCTTGTATACTGGTAGAGGTCCATCTTCTGATTCTATGCATTTGGGACATATGGTTCCTTTTATTTTCACTAAATGGTTACAAGAAGTATTTGATGCCCCATTAGTTATTGAATTGACAGATGATGAAAAATTCTTATTCAAACCAAAATTAACTATTGACGATGTTAAAGGTTTTGCAATTGAAAATTGTAAAGATATCATCGCTGTGGGTTTCAATCCAGAAAACACATTCATTTTCTCCGATTTGCAATACATGGGTGGTGCATTTTATGAAAATGTTGTTAGAACTTCTCGTCAAATTAACACAACTACTGCCAAGGCTGTTTTCGGTTTCACTGATTCTGATTGTATTGGTAAGATTCATTTCGCCAGTATTCAAATTGCCACTGCTTTCCCATCTTCATTCCCTGATATTTTAGGATTACCACCAAAGACTCCATGTTTGATTCCTTGTGCTATTGATCAAGATCCTTACTTTAGAGTTTGTAGAGATGTTGCTGATAAATTGAGATTCTCCAAACCAGCTTTAATTCATGCTAAATTCTTCCCAGCTTTACAAGGTGCATCTACCAAGATGTCTGCTTCAGACACCACTACTTCTATTTTCATGGGTGATTCTGCTGCTCAAATCAAAAAGAAGATCAACAAGTATGCATTCTCCGGTGGTAGAGCCACTGCTGAAGAACACAGACAATTGGGTGGTAACCCAGATGTTGATGTTGCGTTCCAATATTTAAGTTTCTTTAGTTATGACGATGAAAAATTGGCTAAATTATCAGAAGGTTACAAGAAGGGTGAAATTTTATCTGGTGAAATGAAGAAAGAATGTATTGAAGTATTACAAGAATTTGTTGCTGCTTATCAAGAAAGAAGACAAAAAGTTGATAATGATGTTGTAGACAAATTCATGAAACCACATAAATTGGTCTTTGGTCAAAAGGAAAGAAAGGTTCCTGCCAAGGTTAGAGAACCAAAAGCTAAAAAATAATAGATTTTTCTTTTAATTACAATTTCAAATACAAGTCTATAGATAAATGGAACTTTTTTTTTTTATATAAATATCTAATTTAGAACAACTTTTTCACATTTTCTAGTATGAACATTAATCTATCAAAATCATCGTCATGTACTTCATCTCCTTTTCCAAACCATTTTGATCCAATTGATAAGATTGTAGGTTTGGGGCTAGTCACACTGATAATTTTACTTATTTGACTAGCCACAATCAGTAGTTTCATATTTGCATGGTCTCCAATCAATAGCACCGGTTCAGGAATCACTTCTCTTTCTCGATCATCTTCTTCGTCATATCCATCATTTTGTATTTCCATTGATGATATGTAGTTGATGGTTGATTTTGTAGATACGGGTAATTCAAATGTGGTATCCAACAACCCATTAATTGAGATATTGATTATTTGTTGATTGGAGTAATTGATGATGTGGAAGTAAAACTCATTATTGGTATCATTTGAATATGTAGATCTAAATGATTTACTAAATCCAGTTGGATCTTGGATTATTTCTGAAGACATTGTCAATAATGAATGTGTTTCAAGATGGGGGGAAGAAATCAAATTCAGATATAAGTTGCAGTGTGTATTTGGTTGTCTTCTGTTTTATTTTTTTGACAACTGTTTATTTTTTCTCACTCTTCTGTCAACTGCTTGAGAGTGCCGCGCGTTGTAGTCGCCCTGGGGTTTTTCATTTCGTACGTTATGGTATGGCGATCCAAATGTATTTCTTTTTTTTTCTCTCACTCTCTTGGTTGTTGCAATTTACAAAACATTATCAATGGAAACTTAACCAACTTAAGTATAGACTTGATTACATAAAAAAAGGGGGAAGTAAACACCTACTAGTGGCTGAACCATCTGCGAAAAACCACGATCGGTGATCGAAAAAAAGTAAAGAAAGATAGAAGAATTGTAAGATACAATGTAATCTTATTGTCGTTATTCTATTATTCCCTACATTCAGATCTTAAACTCTACCTAAACGGTTGAAATGAAATTAGCAGATCGATTGAAAATCCCAACTGAGCAGCAAGTCTGTTGACTATCTTTCTCAATTGATTACGTGTTAGTCTGAATAAACAAGTTCATAACTTTTGACTCGTAATTACTCATAAAGTATGGTCAGGTACTTTGCTTATGTCAGCAAGTATTAATAGATTACTAATAAAAGTTGTATGATTTTTCGTTCGTAGAGGTGGGGGACTGATGAAAATTTAAGTAAGCCACCGATGATGACACATTGAAAAAAAAAAAAAATAATGACGTTGTATGATTATTTTTCTTTGTTCTCGGATGAAAGACGTGCTACCCCCACGCTTCGGAAGTATTTTGTCGGCCCGGAAATACCAATAATTCGTACGCACTTCGTTCCAACTTTAGGTCGACACGATTGCATCATTTTTCTTTGTTTTAGTAAGCTCCGCAAAATTGCAACTTTTTTTTTGTTTAATTTTTTGACTATTTTTTCAGATGATACATTTTTTTTTTCTTTTCAACGCCTTATAAAGGGAACAAAAAGAATTTTACAGAAAAACATTTCCAATTATTACACATTCTTTTTTAAATAGAGATCTTCCTTTTCTGATTCAATATCATTCTCCCTTTTACCTACCTACCACCACCACCCTTCCTTCTTTAGTATATTCGGTATCTGGATAACAGCAGCGTTTATTTGATCTGTACCTGTTGTCATTTTGCATTCACTCATCACTTACACCTCCCCGGACTTACTATAAATATAACCAACCTTGGTTCCAGAAAAAGAAAAATAGAAATATAATATTTCAATAATCAACTCATTCAATACCCTTGATTTAAAGACATACTTCCCCTACAACTACATTAATAATAATTATGATCAGTATGACTAACATTTTTACTCCAATAGAAGAAGCTTTAGAAGCTTACAAAAACGGTGAATTTTTAATTGTCATGGATGATGAAGACCGTGAAAATGAAGGTGATTTAATCATGGCTGCTGAATTATGTACTCAAGAAAAGATGGCCTTTTTAGTTAGATATTCTTCAGGTTATGTTTGTGTTCCATTAAGTCAAGAAAGAGCCAATCAATTAGACTTGCCACCAATGTTGGCCAATAGAAGTGATAGACATGGTACTGCTTATACTGTCACTTGTGATTTTGCTGAAGGTACAACTACTGGTATTTCTGCTCATGATAGATCATTAACTGCTAGAGGTTTGGCTAATCCTAATTCTAAACCTGATGATTTCATTAAGCCAGGTCATGTTTTACCATTAAGAGCCGTTGATGGTTTATTGAAAAAGAGAAGAGGTCATACTGAAGCTGCTGTTCAATTAAGTACTTTGGCAGGCTTACAACCAGCTGGTGTCATTTGTGAATTGGTACGAGATGAAGATGGTTTAATGATGAGATTAGATGATTGTGTTCAATTCGGTAAGAAACACAATATCAAACTTATTAACATCAACCAAATCGTCGATTACATTTCAAAGTAAATCCTTTTTATCAGTATTAATACGTAAGTAAAAATAATAATAATAATATAAACAATTTTGGGTTAAAAAAAGAAGCTAGATAATCACTTATTTCAACATAAGTTGTGCTTTTCTCTTACCGCTGATTTCGTCTTTAACAGATTTGACATCAACTTTAACTTTATCAAATACAGCAACTTTTCTTTCATTACCATTATGATCTTTAAATGTCAATTCGTATTTATCTTCATCATAATTAGCAGAGTTGACATCACCCATATGTTCTAATTTGATTAAACCTTCGACACCAAATTTCGGTACTAATACCACGATACCATTATTAAAAATCTTGATAACATAACCTTCATGTTCAGCTTCATTATTTCTCATCACTTGTCCGACATAATATTCTATACTTGATCTACCAGCAAATTGAGCATTTCTATGACGTCTATTGATATTCTTTACAATCATTTCCATCTTTGACTTATCACGATGACTCAAGTCCAAGGTTTCATAACCAATAGCACCGGCCAATTGTCTATGAGCAACAACATCACAATATCTTCTAATTGGTGAAGTGAAATGTGTATAGATATCAACAGCTAAACCATAATGTCTAAATTCAGGATAACCATATGACCCACTTGGGAAATATTCTGCAGCCATCATACAACGAGTAGACATAATACGAACCAAAGTATTGAAATATGGATCTTTTGAATCAACACATCTATCTAAAGAATCAGCCAAAGCTTTTGAAGATTCTAAAGAAATAGACATACCATTCTTACGAACATTCAACATATCATTCAAAGTTTCGAAATTTGTTGCCGGTGGTGGAGCATGTCTTCTTAACATAGCTGTTTGTGGATATGCATCATAAATTTTTCTAGCAACGGAAATGTTAGCAAACAACATAAATTCTTCAACTAAAGAATTGGTTTCTAATAATTTCTTGATTTCAACTTCTTGTGGATCTGAAGTTTCACTATCCATATGAACTTTGACTTCTGGAGATGCTAAATTCAATGCACCTGCATCCAATCTCTTTTGTTTTAATTTCTTTGACAATTTAAGCAAAATTCTCATGGAATTTGTCAACTCATCTTGTTGATTAGGATCATCAATTCTCATTTGTGCTTGTTCATATGAAAAAGCTTGTCTAGATTTAATTATAGATTTCATGTAGTTAACATTGACAATATTGGCATCTTCATCAACTTCCCAAATAACACTAAAGGCAAATCTTTCAACAAATGGTTTTAATGAACATAAATTAGTACCTAACAATTGAGGCAACATATCAATTCTCTTGTCCACTAAATAAACAGATGTACCTCTAGAAGCACCTTCCTGGTCCAAAGATGTATTTGGTTTAACGAAATGGGTGACATCAGCAATATGAACACCAACTTCATAATTTCCATTAGGTAATTGCTTAGCATGTAAAGCATCATCGATATCAACACAATTTGGAGGATCAATAGAACAAACTAATTTATCTCTTAAATCGACTCTCTTTTGCAATTGAACATCATCTGTGTTTTCAAGATCCTGTGGAACAACCCAATTGTCACCTTCTTTTGGCAAACAATCCAAAACATTCTTGGAGAATGGTCTATATTCAACATCATGTTCTAATAACAAAGCTTCAGTTTCAGCTTCGGCACTTTCAATAGCTCCCAATGCTCTAACAAAATGACCATTTGGATATCTGGAATTAATTGGCCAAGAATCAACAACAACAACAATTCTTTGTCCTAAATACTCTTTTGCCTTTCTTGTTCTGATTCTAATTTTTGGTAATTTTGGATCCATCAATATAACAAAACAATTCTTACTTGCATTACCTGTGGTTTCATCAATATTAACTGAAGAAGGGGCAATTTGACCAACATAGTATCTCCATGATCTTCTCATTATACCAACGATTTTAGCTGTTGGTTGTAATCTTTTTTCATCATTGTTAGAACTAGTAACTTTCATAGCTTCTTGTGCTAAAATAATACGTTCTTTATCTGAAACAACACTTTGAGTTACTTCATCTTCTTCAATATCATCATTACCTGCATTATCATTAGCACCAATGGTTTCTTCTTCAATGATGGTAGTTGATGGTTCTTTCCATTTATCTTTAGGTAATAATTCCACAATAACAGAATCAGAATTAAAAGCACGATTAAGATTCTTAGATCCTTGAATCAATAAAGGTTTCTTGAAAGCAGGTACCAGTACTTCACCTTGTAAATAATTATAAGATGAAATGTTTAAAATACCTTGATATAAAGTACCATTTTTAATACCTGCCATAATTCTTGAATTTGAATAATATTCGGGGAATGAAGTTTCATTAACCTCACCATCTTCATTTTTAGTAAATTTGGAATCATATTGAGGAATCAAATCTTTCAAATCTTCTCCATTTGGTAATATATCAATATATTCATATAATGATTTTGCTTCAATGCCTTCATTAATTGCTTTTGTTCTGTTATCTTTATCATTACAAATTAAAAATGTTTTGATTGTTGGTAAATGATTATTGAACCATTGGGCTACTTTTCTAATAGCTCTATCATTTCTATCATTAATTGATTCATTTTTATTTCTGGTGATGTATGTTTCTTCATTATATTCATTGTGGAATACAATAAATCTTTTATCTTCTGATTTAACTAAATTTCTTAATCTCTGATAAATTGGAAATGATCTATTTTTAACTTCTTCCAAAACGGTTTGTGGAATAATTACATCATAAAAACATTGAGTATTTTCTAATAAATCTATAGCATGTAAAATGATATTTGTATCTAATACTAAATAATGAGGTTCACCCTTTGCAGTAGTTGTAGGAGTTGAAGATAATATAAATCTAGGTAATTCACCATTGGCATCAGGTTTAATTATTTCTTGACATGTATTACAAATAGTTGAATAACATGGAATATCATTTCTCAAATAATGTTCACGAACAATCTTTAATGCACCTCCATTTCTTGATCTTACAAAAACCTTAGAAGTGACACTTAATCCACTTGATAATCTCTTTCTATTATTAACTGCTGCAACTGTCATTGTAGTAGTAGTAGTAGTAGTAATGGCAAATTGAAAGTTGATACTTTGAAGAATTTTTTTTTTTCAATGTACATCCTTCATTAACAGAGACAGAAAAATGTTTATAAGTCTCATCGAAGGTTGTTGTAGAGATAATTGAGATGTGATTTTTTTTATCCAGAGTACACTACTTATACAATAGCTATACATTAATAATATCTACCTTCAGTTGGAGAATTATGAATAATTCTATAAATTGGGGATGCCACAATTCTCGAACTATTTGTTCTGATCCCTGGAGATTTCAAAGATAATTTATTTGAATCCTGAGGTGATTTTGAAAAACTATAATATGAATCATTATCGTCATCTTCTTCTTCTTCTTCTACTGGAATATGATCATTATCCATCATTTCACCTTTAGATGCATTAATTGTTGTAGTGGGTATAAAAAATGATGAATTTGGTAATACAAATTCAGTTCTATCAATTTCAACCATGTCATCATCATCATCATCATCATTATCGTCGTCATTATCGTCTACGGGTGACATTGCACTTGGATCTAAATTCATTAAATCATATTTTGCAAAAGAAATATTTGATCGGTGATTATTTGAACTTATTGTTCCAGTCATTTGATCAATATGAATATTAGGATGAATAATTGGACTTGAATAATATTCAGGATTTATAATATGACTACTTCCACCAACAGGGGGAATAATTATTGTATTTACTGCTGAAAAATCTTGTGGTGGAGACATTGGTTGGAATTTCAATTGTGATAGATAAGTATTACGTCTTGATAATTCAAATTCTTTAGTTTCTTCATAAATTTCTTCTTCAGGTCCATATTCTTCTGTTGGTGTATTTGTTGCATCACACATGGTTTCACTATCTACATCTGATTTAATCTCAATTGAATTTCTTGATTTTGAAGGATATAAACTATTCATAAATATTGATGCATGATAATCTAGTTTATTCAGTGATACTGCGGTTTGTTGTGGTGGTGGTGATTGCTGTTTCTGTTGCTGTTGCTGCGATATAGGTTTGCTTATTGATTGTTTCAACAATTCCAGCCTAGTTGGTCTGCTTGACTTTGAAGAAAAATTCTTTAAAAATTTAACAAATCGATGTCTCTTGTTACCATAGTGACTTGGGGCTTCTTTTGAATTTATTGATGGAGAATATGGTTGAATTGGATAATAATTTGAAATAGGTGCAGATATACTAGGTGTCAATGATGTTAAATTCTTTGAATTTATAGTTGAAACCGTTTTGGATCTTTTAATAGAACCACTTGGACTACCAATGTTAATATTATGATCCAATGTAATTAAATTTTGTTTTCTTTGGAACAATGGAGGGTATCTACTTATTAAATTAGGATCCCTTAATTCTTCCAATGTCGATAAATCAATTGTATGAGAATCTAAAGTGATAGTATTATTCATTAGTTGATAGGTTACCTGTTTAACTCTAGTATGGAAAACGAAGAAGAAGAAAATTGGGTTGTCTTTGGTTTTGATTTTGATTTTATAATATCATTGTTAAATTTAGCAACCAAATATCAAAAAAAAAAAATGTCGCATACAACAAATATCAAAATAATATATGTCATTGGTAGCGTTCGTTGTACTGCATACAATCATCCAATAAAATTGAATCAAAGTTTTTTTCTTTTTTTTTTTTTTAGTTTTCATTTTTCGGATTCAACAGAAAGAACGAACAAAAAAAAAAGTAAAGTCTACTTACTATCAAGTCACTTTATAAATTATCACAACTATATATTAACAATGGGTGCTGCTTATCATATCTTAGGAAGAACTGTTCAACCACATCAATTAGCTATTGCTACTTTAGGTACTGTGGTATTTTTCACTTTACCAAAACCATGGGGTGCAGCACAACCAACCACTCCACCAATTAATGCTGCTTCTCCAGAAGAAGAAAAATACATTCAAGATTTCTTAGCTAAGCATACTGAAACTGCTAAAGAACATCATTAAATGTGATTTATTTGAAAGGAAAAGTGATGAGAAATACGGTGTGTGTTTTTATGATGAAGATAACTGAAATTATATAACCTAAAAATCATGACAATCACATAATCAACAACAAAAAAAAAAAGAAAGAGATATATAATTGTTCATTTTCTTGAATTTATAAACAAAATATAGAAGGATGGCATTTTTTTTTTCCTTAAAGAAAAGAATCGAAAGAAAAGTGTTGTTTGTTTGATATATTTTTTATTATTGTTATTTTGTATTTAACTTGATTTTACATGTATCTATTCAATTTAAATATTTATTTGAAAGTTTTATTGAACTAGGGGTAATTGTAGAGATGGAAAGAGTTGTGGGATGTATGATATTCATTACTGCATTCGATAATAAGGCATATATAACTTGTCACTCTTGTAATGTACCTGACAAACATGATATTGAACGCATTGTTACTCTTAGATCAATCACTACTAGAGTTTAATGTTCTAATCAGTAAATTCCTAGTGCAAGTTGCTTGTTCAATCATATTCTACAAATGCATCCAGATATTTCTCTCACTGAAAAAATGAAGCAGAAAAAAAAATAAAAATCCTGTATCAAAACGAGATGACATTGAAAAAAAAAAAATTGTAAAAGACAAAGTTATCCATCTCTTGTATCATCACTTCATCAATCAACTAACTATTTTCACAGATAAATATGTCAGCTATTTATAAGGCATTACAACCTAAATCTTCTAAGGAATCTTCAGATAAAACCAAACATATCAATAGACAAAGATTGTTAGTGATATCATCCCGTGGTATTACTTATAGACATCGTCATTTGATTCAAGATTTATTAGCTTTATTACCACATGCCAGAAAAGAACCAAAATTTGATTCCAAAAAGAATTTACATCAATTAAATGAAGTTGCTGAATTATACAATTGTAATAATATTTTCTTTTTTGAATGTAGAAAGCATCAAGATTTGTATTTATGGATTTCTAAACCTCCAAATGGTCCAACTTTAAAATTCCATATTCAAAATTTACATACTTTGGATGAATTAAATTTCACTGGTAATTGTTTGAAAGGTTCAAGACCAATTTTAAGTTTTGATAAGAATTTCTTAGATAATGATCACTTCAAATTATTGAAAGAAATGTTTATTCAAACTTTTGGTGTTCCACCAAATGCTAGAAAATCAAAACCATTCATTGATCATGTCATGACATTCTCCATTGTTGATGGTAAGATTTGGATTAGAAATTATCAAATTAATGAAACTTTAGATGTTAAAGAAAACGATAATGATGATGATGTTGATGTCGATCAATTAAACTTGGTTGAAATTGGTCCAAGATTAGTTTTGACCTTAATTACTGTATTAGAAGGTTCTTTTGGTGGTCCAAAGATTTATGAAAATAAACAATACGTTTCACCAAACTTTGTTAGAGCTCAATTGAAACAACAAGCTGCTGATCAAGCTAAATCTAGATCTCAAGCTGCTTTGGAAAGAAGAATTAAAAAGAGAAACCAAGTCTTGAAACATGATCCATTATCCAACGATGCATTGTTTAAATAGAGTATGGATTCTTGTGTGTATGTAGATTATAATTTGAATTCAATATATTAACAAACAAAAAAGAAAGAAACAAATAAAAAAATCGTGTAATCTAGAACGTGTTGTGTATCACGTGCTGGGTGTGTCAACTACGGGCTATGTGGAAATTTGCCCCACTTGTGGGTAATTATCTCCGTCATAATCGATATAAAGGAGATAAAGGTTAATATTACACAAGTGAGATATATGATGAATCGCGTAAATAGTTCTTTGCGGTTGAAACTAATTGAAAGGTGAAAGCACACGTCAATTTCATGGACTTTTGGACTCGGGTCCATTAATTGATGAAACAGCCGACAAAGCTTTGATTTATTTCTGTTTTAAATTTTTCAATTTTGATCGATGCAGAAGACAACCTTATTCTATTCTGGTTGGTGTTCAAATGGGAAACTTTATGAGATACAGTGAGTTTTATCATAAAATGTTGAAAAGTACCCCTGAAAACTGAGGCGATTTCATAAGTACTTGCGCATTATGTCTAGATAGAGCAAATGAGTATATAAGAATGTTGCAAGTATAATTACACATGACATCAAGCGTCTATAGATTGTTCTAATTTCTTGTTCCTGTAAAGAGTCTTCGATTCGAGGTGAGCTTTCAGATACTTGAATTTGGAATTTGGTATTACAGTGCATCTACAAAAAAAAAGAGGGGGAAACTTTATAAAATTGAAAAGGTCCAGACTGATTCTTAACTGAGACTATGAACCACAGTTTTACAAGGAATAGTTTTGTCATCGGTTATACTTGATATAGTCAACTTTGAGATGATCTTTGTTCCTCTTTAGTATCCCTTGTTGTATATTATCAACCCCAATTTAGTTGTAGTAAAAAGAAAAGAGAATTACAAACTTAAAATGTCATGAATCTTGAAAAGTAAGGTACCAAATGAAAAGAAAAGACAGTAAAGTGTAATATTTAAAGAAAAAAAGTAATTTCTGATTGTTTTCTAGTGTAAAGCAACAGTGTAGATACAAAATCGATTCCGTCAATTAGCTTGACTTCTGTTATTCATGCTCTGTATTTTATATCTTTTTTGTTGGAACATTCTATACTAAAACATTCCCTCCTTACATATATTGTCACAATATGTATGAATTACAATATAGTGCAAAAAAACAATTGGTTGACTGCAGGAATGCTTTTTATTTGTATTGGTGCGCGAAAACGTTTTGTATCAGATTTGAATTGTCGACACTACACAAAGAAATGAAAATTGAGGTTAGAAAGAAAAGATAGAAATCGCGTCTTTTTAAATTTTGGTTTTTTTGTTATGTTTTCTTTGTTTCTCCTGGTTGTCTGAATTTATATTGTTCTATTTCAATTTAAGTTACAATCCAAGGAGGTAGAGTGATTATCAATGAAACTCATGATGTATTCAACAGCCTATAATGGAATATATTCATAGATAACATGAACAATTCATCGAGGATCATTCCACAACTGCCGAAACTACACCAAGAATGTAAACTGCGTGGAGAAAGAAAGAAAAATATCTTTTGATGCCCTGGCATAGTTGTTCGTGTTTTCTATTTTTTTTTTTTTACATTTAGACGGTCCTTTTCTATTTCGATTTAACTTAGTTTTCTTACATTGTGTAATGATAATTTCACTTTGAGCGGACCAACGATTGGTTGGGAGATAACTACAATACGTTTGATGCAAAGAGTTTCCGACAAACGATGAATAAATGTCCAGTGGAATGACTTTATGATAGTTAGTTACCTGTTGCCAATTGAGTATGATCTAAATATATCCATCGCTCGTTAGCGTACGATACTCATGATGAGGTTATTAATAACACCCTGGATTTTACGAATAATCATGTGATCACATAATCAGAGCATCGGGAAAAAAAAAAAGAAAGAAAACATCAACATGACGGATATTGAACAATGCAAGGTATTACGTAACTAACTCATAAGAAACAAGGGGATTATGATGATGATGATGATCAACAATTATCCCAAAAGACAAACGAGTTAAAAAAAAATAGATATAAAAATATTTCATGCAAGAACACAAAAGGGTAATAAACAATGCATTACTTCTTAAACATGGACATGAGATTATGGCCGAAACAAAGAGAATTCTAGTCCATGATTCTATGTTCTCATTTTCCATTATTGATGACTATACTATTATTATCCATAGATACAGCAATCATCTTTGAACAAATACAGTTTATACCCCCTTAGAACTGAACAGAAACCAACCCCCCTTCTCCCAATGCATCATAATATGGCATAGGCACAAGAGAGAATAACCACGCAGACACGGCCTGTATACAGAAAACTATAAAAAAAAAGGGATTAACTAATAAAAAAATTTAAGGTACACAAAAATAAATCCCACAGAGTTAAAAAAAAAAAATTTACAAACTGTAATAATAAAAAAGAAACAACACGGGAAATGAAAAAGAGAGAGAGTGTGTGTGTGTGTGAGTGTTTTGTTTTACACGCACGATATTTTGCTGTTTATACTGCACAATACAATAATTACAGTTTGTTTCATTTTTCTCCCCTTTTCCTTTAAAAATAAAAAACTGTAACTATATATGTAAATCATAGATGTTAGAATCAACCCAAAATGTTATATAACTGTATAACCATATATATATATATATATATATATATATATATATACATAACACGAAAGTACCAGTTTATTTTAGGCTGTGATAAATTTTTGTTTTTGTTTTTTTTTCTTGTAGGATTCTTCTTTTGATATCATTAATAATCAATTTACTAACACTACTAACACTACTACTACCACTACTTTTACTACAGCCATACTCTGCTACATTTAACTCAGCCAAATTTCATATTAGTGTTGTTTAATTACCATTTGTACACTACCCCCTTCCCACACTCAGCCTAGTCAAATTAAAATAAATATAAAAAAAAATCTGAGTTGTTTTATTTTTGGTTTCTTTTTTATTTTTTATTTTTTATTTATTTTTCACATATAAAGATTGTTGTCCCAGTTACTTAACAGTTCAACCCCGATATTATTTTTTTATCAAACACACTCACACATTCGCTTTCTTTTTCTTTTTTTATTTTTTTCTTCATTGTGGTAAGAAAGAAAGAAAGAAAAAAAAGACCAAGAACATATACAATCTAGGTGATCAATTAATTCAGTCAACTGATTCATTATTTCATTTCACGCCTTCATCATTACTCATCCCCCCTTGTCCTCATTTCCATATTTCCCTTTGTCTTCTTGATCATTATCATTATTATTTCTTTTTTTTTTGGTTTTTGTTTTTTAGTGGTTTAAATTTTGATCTTATTTATACCCAGAAATGTACTCAAATACTCCATATTCTCAGAATAATAGAAATGGGTCTTCACTGTCAGAAGAGGAGTTTGATAACTTCAATTTTAGAGATTTAAATGAAAGCTCCCCATTAACAAAATCATCAAGAAAAAACAACCAAAACCATTCATCAAGTTCATTACCTACTTTACCCCCAAAACCTTTGCATATGCAACCAGAATATCTTCAACAAGAACGAGAAAAACAACAACGACAGAAACAACAATATTCAAGATCTGCTGCAAATAAATCTAACAACCAACAATATCCATATTCAAGTGATCAGCAAAATAATCTCAAGAAAATGCCTTCAACTCATGTAACAGAATATGAATTAACAAATTTCGCTACCAGAGATTTACCCCCAATACCCCCAGAAAGCAACAGCAGAAACTATAATAGCCATAATGATAATAGAGGGAGTACCATGACTTTTGCTTCAAATCCGTTTACAGATATGAATTATATTTCCCGTAATTATGATAATGTCGATTTACCACCATCCCCTCCAAGTTCAGATCCATTCAAAACAGAAGAAATGCCTTCAGATGATGACTTCCATTCTGACGATCTAAAAAACAAGATGAAGAAAAATGAAAAGAATAGAATCCGTACATTAAGAAGAAAACCACGGTTCCATTATACTAGATTACCCTATTTCACAATAGTGATATCAGTTATACAGATTATAGTATTCATTGTCGAACTTGCAAAAATGTCCCAGCTAACAGGTTCAGCTTTCCAAACCAAACCTTATTTCAATCCCATGTTGGGCCCGCTGACATATTTATTAATCTATATGGGAGCTAGATATGTTCCTTGTATGCACCAAATTAAAGGTATAACAGACGATACATCAATAATGTTTCCTTGTGCAAACTCCACTACAGAAAGTACATTTGTATGTCCTTTGAATGAATTATGTGGCTTATCTGGTATTCCTCAAGACGGTGACGCGTGGTTACCCAATCAATGGTATAGAATTTTCATTCCAATTTTCTTACATGCTGGTTTCTTACACATAATTTTTAATTTATTATTACAGGTTACAATGGGTGCCTCTATTGAAAGAAATATTGGTATTTTGAAATACGCCATAATCTATATTGTAAGTGGAATTGGTGGATTCTTATTAGGAGCAAATTTTACTCCACAAGGAATTGCTTCTACTGGTGCGCTGGGTGCATTGTTTGGAATTGTTGCTACAAATATCATCCTTTTCATCTACACAGGAAGAAAAAACACCAACATGTATGGTACAAAACATTATGCTTTGTTTATCTGCATCATGATTGCTGAAATTGTCATCACATTTGTTCTTGGTTTATTACCAGGCTTGGATAATTTTAGTCATTTGGGTGGATTTGCTATGGGTATTTTGACATCTATTTTGTTATTGAAGGATCCATTCTGGGTTTTCAAAGATGGTATTATAACATATCCGAAAAACCCAAGCACATGGCAACAATTTAAAAACAACTGGAATCCATTATTTGCTATTGAAGATAAAATAAAGAATAGATTCATAATCTGGTGTCATGTTAGAATTGCTGCGTTGCTGCTAATCATTGTCTATTACGCCTTGCTTTGTAAGAATTTCTTCAACGCTAACTTAAATCAAGGAAACAGATGTAGCTGGTGTCGATATTTTAATTGTATCCCAGTCAAAGGATGGTGTGATATTGGTAATGTAAGTGTTACTACGCAAACTACTTCAAATACCGATTCGGCAAGTGCTACTCCTACTCCAAGCCAAACTACAGTTTCAACAAATATTTATTCCACAGCCATTTACACAACCACATTACCTACAAGTGTTGAAAATTCGGGAAGTTCATCCTCCTCATCGAATAGTAATTCACAAAGTGAAGGTACTAACGGTGGGTTAAAAAGAAGATTTGCAGAAAGTTTTTCAATCAATGCTAAAAGAGACGTCGATGTTTCTCTGCAATATGGTATTGGTAGTGGGTTGTATTTAGTTTTATTCTTTTTCACTATTTCATTTTTGAAAAAGAAAAAGATTATATAATGTTATTGAGGCATTACAACTGCTATTTTTAGTTGTTGCTTTTATTTTTATTTTCATATTTTCTTTATACATATATTTTTATTTTTATTTTTATCAATGTGATGAGTTAATGAAGCCATATAATATACAGATATATAAGTTATCCTTATGAATTTGATTTTGTAACTATTTGTAATGAAAGGGGGGTATGAATCAAGAAAACTAAAAGTGGCTGTGAAAGAAGACTTTCAAGTTACAAAAATGTAAATCGGCTATGTATCTGATATTCTCTTTCTTTTGATCACAACTTTGCATTAAATCTAGATGAAAAAAAAAAAAAAAGTTGTGATAAGACTAAGAAGTGATTTTCAGGGAAGAAATATTTCCAAAAATAAATCACTATTAATAGATAAAATATCATCATAACTGTTACTATAAGTGATATAATACATTAATTAAACACTTCTGTCTCTAGTTTACATTATTTTCATTAAATTGTTATAGG